ACCAACCGCACAGATTTCTGCCTTCAGCTATATGTGTATAGTTCCACAGTTGCGGTTAGAATATTAGAATTGTTATTATATGTTAATAATAATATTTTCCATGACTTCAGTTTGCACTAGAAATAGCTATTTACAAACAATTTTAAATAGTTTTATCTTCTTTGGTACTCCAATTTATTCTTAAAAAGTATAAAATGTATTCCCCTTCAAATATTTAGTAAAAACAGTTAGGTTTTTCTGTAATATAACTATATTTTTGAACACATGTGTCCCAGCTTGTAACTGTCTGTCAGCGCTGCAGCAACGCCCTTTTCGTCCTTGCTTCTCGTCCTCAGTCGGTCATACTCCTTCCGAACGGTTTGCACGCGGTTTTCGGCCAGCTCACCACCTGGATTCTAGATGGGTTCGTAGTGGCCTGCTGGTCCTGCTAAATTACATTTTAGCAAGTTAATTGAAATGGAAATTAGTTGAAATTGTAAAACGAATTGAATTGTATGTGATTAGCTGCAGCATTTTCGAATTGGTTAAACAGCAGCAGCAACAGGAGTAAAACTGAATTTCCACCTGAAGTACTTTCGACCAAGACTGTCTTTAATATTACCAAGCACCTGGCAAATTCATCGTTAATTGAATTTTTTGGATTTGAAATTGATTGCTCTCTCTAATTCTTGAAAATTAATTAAGACTATGCAAAATGCGAATTAAGCATCACTAAATTGTTATAGCACCCTGTCATTTTTAACTTATTTTATAAGAAAACTACAAAACTACTACTACTTTTTTTTATGATACAAAAAGGATTATAGAATGCATAAATTAATTCACTAAAAATATACATTAAGATTCAAATGAAGAGTGTTTTTTTTTTTTGGGAAAAGTTACTATCTATTTGCATACTTTCCTCCCTGACTTCCTACTACTTATCATCCTCTGAAAATTTTCTTCATGTTCCACAAAGACCGCAGACAGACGTCGCGTAGCAGTCGCGTATATTTAACCATAAGTAATATTAATACCCATTTTTGTTAACCCAAAAAATAAAAAAAAAAGTGGGGAGTATGCTTTATGTGTGGGTTGGCTGGTGGGTGGCGGTGTGGTGTGTGTAAAATTATTATCCTTCACGCTTAATATGCACAAGCGGAAGCCGTCATTTGTACGCCACGGAGAGATGACGATGACCAAAACCCAGGGCCGCTGGCCATTTAGCATACGCAACTTAGTGTGAGTGTGTCCTGGTGTCTTTTTTCAGCCCCAGCGTTTTTTATGTCATCGTCCTGGTCGTCGTCTACTTATGTGCCACATGCTTCACTTTGCACTTGCAAAAATTAATGGGGATCTAACCAATTAGATTGAGCCCATAACTTGCAAAATTGCTTAACGTTTTCCAAATTGCATGCTTCTCAATGTTAGTAGCCAAATTCGCTGAATTTAAAGTATGGTTTTCATGTAACAACATTGGATAATATAGAAAAATGAAAAATGAATGATTTTTTACTCTAATAAAGATATCCAAAACTTAATCAAAAGTTTAGTAAAAAGTTATTAATGCCAGATTTAAGTTCCTTATATACTAAGAGACATTAAAACTTATTTTCATAAATTAAAAAGAAGTTTCTTGTAGTGCTTTCTCCTGCTTGCTACGTGAGTTGCCCGTTGTCCAAGGGAGCGCGTATCCTTACAAAATTAGTGCTCTTTTACATTCATATGCACACATGCATCTATCCTAGATATATATACGATTTTTTCACAATACTCGTACAATATTTTCTGTTGTAAAAAAATATTCAAAAAAAAAAGAAATTATTTAAAAATATAAAAGAGAGAGGGTAAAAGCGGACGACCGGACAGCAATCGCAACGCTGATATATAATATTATATTTTTTCTGCAACTGTTTGTGCCACTTTGGCGGAAGTATCGCAGCGACATCAGCACGAATAGAACAACCTCTCCACCGCCTTAACCCCTTGTTGCCCAATCCAGGCCCGACTTTTTCCCACAGGCACTCTCGAGCGTTATGCGTTTTTTGTATGTTTAGCAAAGCATAGAAAAGTGTATAAAAAATTGAAACCATTTTCTCATATTAAATGTGTGCCGACCGAAAGGCGGATGGGTGGAGGCGTGGCAACAGCAGTTAATAATGAGTGTAGCGCCACCCATCGTCCAAAGTTGGCATCTGGACCAAAGTAGCCAAGGACTTGAATGCAAGAGCAGTTCTTAGAAAACTATGCAAACTGTTAAACAATTACCATTTTATGGTTCTTATAAAAAATTAATGATTACATTCTATTTTTCTATTTTACATTCTATTTTTCGTTTCGATGATTATTAAAGTACCTACTAAAACTATATGGCATTAATTATAAAACGTTTATAAGTATTTCATAACTTAAGTTGATGGTAGACGATCAAGGTTTTAATATTCCAGATATTTGTTCTGCATTTTATTTATATATTTTTCACTATCCTTTCTTGGTCGAAAGTTCGTGTCGCCTTGCCACTTATCTATATAAAATATGTTGTATATATTTACTACACATATATGTATATCAGAGACACAGAGACTCGACTGCTGATTATTATTCCGCTGACCATTTTATTTGAAAGGCATTTGCCGGCAGTCACCAACACACACGAATGCGCGCAGGACACTCTCATCTGTATGGTCTTCTTTTTTCCTGCAGGCAAGGAACAAAACGACATATTCGTCCTGCATAAATGATGTAATTACAGCGCAAGATTTTTGCTATGAGCATTTTTTTTTTTTTTAAATTTCTTCCCCCGGCTTTAGCTTCTTCTTTCTCTCCATTACCCCACTCATTTAGTTTCCTCGTTTTCCTTATTTTTTTCCATCTCTTTTTCTGTGCCCTATTTGTATTCTCTGATATGAAAGAAATACATATGCTATATAAGACTTGGCCACACACACACAAGTCTGCCCAGCTTGTGAAATATTTTGCATGCTTTTATCATAATTTTAATTAAATGTGAAAATTACTATATTATTTATATATACATATGTGTTTGTAGGAGTTTTTATCTTAATGCTTTGAGTGAAACTTGAGATTGATTATGGTGGCTGTGCAGTTCTCGGTGATTTTCCCCAGGAGCCATTGTTCAAAGTTAATATACACACACAAAAAAAAAGGGACAAAAAGTTCAGATACTTTAAATTTATTTAAACCAGTCAAAGTCTACAATAAAAAAAGTGATTATTTTTTTGGTAAATGAAGCGCTGATATTTTATGGCCCCAAAAATAAAAGACCCCAAAAAATTTCAACCCACCTGCCAAACAGACTCTAATGCATTTCTAACATGGGTTAAAGGCGTAACGAGAATTGGGGGCGGCACGATGGAAAAGGAGGCGGGTTGTGATTTGTTGACACAGCCAAAGCCGCAAAAACATTGGCGGGCGTGTTAAATGAAATGAAAAGCCAAACGCGCGACCGCGAAAATCAAACAACAATAAAAAATAAAGGGGAAAACCGCAGAAAGGTAGCAGCAGCAACAACAACAACAACAACCAAACTGGACCAGGGAAATTGCGAAGGCAGCAGAAAAAAAAAACAACACACTCGAACATACACACAGAAAGCATAAGTGACAAAAAAATCGCGAGAAAGGCAAAAAATATAGAAAATTAAAAACTAATCGTATAAATTAAATTTGTTAAAATTATTTTTAGGCATCTAATAAGAACACAAAATTGTAAAATATATTCTTATAAATTACAAAGACATTTAGTCTGTAAATTTAACAATCTTTTTTTATTTTAATTTTATTCTTAATTCTTTTAATTATGTTCACTTCTGTTTTTAATATAAGTATATACATAGAAATAGAACTTTTTCTCAGTGCCCCAATATAGCAACAGAAACATGAAAAGCCACAAAGCTAAAAACAGCTAACGGGTAAACGGTAAACCAGCGACCGCCTGAATCCTGTATTCTGAATCCTTTCCTCCATGTTTTTGTGTGTGTGAGTGGTGTATCTGTGTGTGTGTTGTCGCGATGAGAAACGTGCCGATGCATAATCATTGAGGCCATTATCATTTATTTCACTCAAAGGTGTCGTTGCCGTTTCGCTTCCGTTTTGCGCCGTGTGCCACCTGCAAAAATCAAAAACACACGCACCACCAACAAAAGGGAAGTGAAAAGAAACAAGCTAATACCATCAGACATTTTGGCTTACTGCACGATCAAATTTATAAAATATTGAAGAAAAAAATATAAAACCAGAACAAGATATTTGTAAAGCACAAGGATTTTTACATTACTTAAGTAAATATTTAAATTTACTTATATATTTAAGAATATCATTAAAAAAGGATGCATTAAATATTGTAAAGTATTAAGCTTTATGATAATATGAAAAAAAACTTAATCTAAACTGATTTTTTGTTAGACTTTTAAACAAAGAAAGAAGAAATCTTAATCCATTCGCTCACCCAAACCGTTTTAGTGCAAAGCGACCCTAAAATTTACCAACGATTAACAAATAACCCAACAATAAAGCAGCGGCGATTTTACTACCGCATCTACAGCAAACAGTGTCCTGTGCTGGAAATTTATGATCCCAAATGCCTCAGTTAACCCACTCAACCAAGCCCGCAAAACCCATCGTCCTTTTGTGTGGACGATGTTCGCGATGTTAGCCTATTTGTTTAGGTCAGAACTATAAAAATCCAACAAACTATAACGGAATGAAATCAAAATAAAACATGACCAACAATTTCTATGCATAAGTCAACAGAAAAATAGTCAGAATAGACAGGAACCAAATAACTGTCTAGTACAACTGTGAATTGATAAAATATCACAAAGAACTATAGTTAGATTAGTTGTTAGACAATTGGAAAATGTAATTAACTTGGATAGGATTTTTGAAAATTAATAAACCCTTCTATGCGATTTCCAATAGTTCTACCTGGGCACTAAAAATAAACGTAGCTATCACAGCAATTAACGTAAGTTGAATGTCAAGACCTTTGTTCCAGACATCGAATATATATCAGTTACATCTGACTCGGTCAACAATAAGCATTCCAAAAATATAATACATTTATTTATTTATATTTTTCCGTCTATACTGTTTGTATGGAAGAATTTTTACCGAAGTGATGGCGATGAAGATGAATCAGAACCAGAACAAGTTCAACATAAATCAGTCCGTCGCTAGGATGACGGTGCGATTGGTCGAACCCATTGTCCCAGTGCCGCAAATGTCATCGTCAACTTTGCCAGCCCGCCGTGCTGTCGTCGAATCTTATCGGGGTCCTCAAATTGCTCCCGATGATGCCATGCTGCCCATGCCGCCGCACAAAAAGAATCAGAGTATGGGTGAGATTTTGCACGATCTACGACAAAAAGTGAAGGACCTAAAGCTCTGGCATCGAACCCTTCGCTTCCTGAAGAAACGAGTCTAGCTTGCAATTATATATATATATATATACACCAAACTGGAGGATCTGAACCATATCTTCAACTGTAATACACTTCGTTTCGTCCACGTGCAAAATCCCCAATAAACAAGTTAGAGTTGTGTTCGATTTTAAGTTTCACAAATGATTGTAGAACCCTAAAAATCGATCACATATTCTACCGTCTATCGTCGCTTTATCTACCACAAAAAAAAAGAAATATATAAGAAATTACTCGTACTTTTCATTTTCATGAGCTGATTTTATTATTCACTTGTGTTACCTAACATCCAACAAAATGGCGTTACATTAACCGAGGATTTGGTCACCATCCCACACAGTCAGCAATTTAGATGTATTAAGAGTGGAGTTGGGACATCTGGCCAGGCCCAAATCGCAAAAGGCCGACAGTGCAAACGGGAGCAACAACAAAGGCTAAAGCGAAACAAAATTTAATTCCAACACTAAAATAAGTTTTTAAAACTAAGCAGCGCGGCTTATGTCACAGAGAGAGAGAGAGAGAGAGAGGGGCAAAACAAAGCAGCAAAAAAGCCCAGCAGAACAACCACAGGACAGACTGCATTTAGAATATAAATTTAGTTAAACAAATCTCGGACGAGGCGGCCTCCCTAAGGTATGAATGCAGCCAGAGTTGCCACAGTCATGTATGAGTTTTCTAGCAGGAGAAATGCGCTGCACAAAAATCTTAGACCTTTCAAAGTTGTTAATTAATATTAAATGTTGTTTTAATAATATGTTAATAAATAACTTAAATCACTTTATAAATCACTCATAATATAATGATATATTATTTTTTCTTTTCTATTATTATTTTCTTATAACAATATTTTTCTGATTGATAAAGCCCCAATTTATTCGATATTATCTTTTATATAAACTTCTTTAGTTCAAATTATTCTTACTAACAGTTAGTTTAGGTTTCCCTCTTATACTAGCAAACTAAAATCTCGACTGTAGGGCAATGATAAAGCTTTCAACCCCAAACCCCTAAAGTGAATTTCGTTCGTTTTAGGGTTGGGGTTAACCCACCACTGTTCCGCGACCTCCCTAAACAACCTCTTTCTGTATTTTCTTGTTCTGCTTCTTTATTTTTTTTTTGTCATGTAGGCTCCTCTAGCTCGTATTCCCACATCTTTTTCCTTCCCCCGCCAACCGCTGACAAACGTCAAAATATAATTTTTGCGTGGATTTGCGTTGGCCCAGCAACACCAACAACAACAGCAACAGTAATAAATGTCGGGGGGATTGAGAAACCCCAACCAAAAAAAAAAAAAATTAAAAGAAAAAAAGAGAAACAATTTTTGCAACTGCTGCCTGCTTCTTATCTCAGGCACGTTAATGTGGCCTATGTGACTACACGGAGGAAGGGTTGCCAGCATTGCATGTCCTACTGTGAAGCATAATTTTTAATAATCTACAACACAGCCTGGCCACAAAAGGGATGGCAAAAAAGAGGGGCCGCCCAAAAATACGCGCATGCAAATGGCTTAATTTAATATATAATTATATACCCTGACAACGCGAGACGACACCCACAGAATAGGGGGATACATTAGCTAGGACCCGTGAGGGTATCTATATATTATTTATAAATAAACAAGTTGAAAGGTTTTTACCTTTGAAAATGAATAATAGTATATTTCTAGAGTAAACCCCCTCTCTCTGCGATTATAAAAACGTATTATTTCTTATCCAATCACCTCTCTATGCGATTCTCATATTTCTTAGGTAACTGAATAATTTCTGAAATGAATACAAACTTTAGTCCGTTTTCTTATATTTTAAGTTAGAGCATTTCATATTCATATAATGTAAATCCCTTGAAGCCTACTCCTGAAGTGATTTTCTTGGTTTCGGTTGTACACCTTTTTATCTGACTCCAAAGGTTTTGGCCAAAAAGGTGTTAAGACGAAGATGCCATATACACATGTGGAAGATTGTCTTGTCTAAGCTCCAGATTGATGCCGCCTTTGCCGCAAAACCCAATCCCAGGGCTGTAATTAAATTATCATGCCAACAGCATAACGCTGCCTTAACACCCCCTTGCATGGAGTTTTTCTTTTAAGAGAGCATGGGGGCCGGTGTTGTAATTCAAACAGGAGCCAACGCAACGGGTTAACATTAGCGCACTTTTACGGCCTTCGCCGGATAAGTATATGTCTCTCAACCGCTCCGCCAGTTTAGTCGCTTTTTTCTATGATTAGCTGCGAAATTTATGCCAGCCGCAAAGGCATTTAGCGGGTAGCAGTTAAAACAGCAATAACTGCAATGCCTATTTATCTTGGGGGAAACGTTACCTGAATTAAAAAGCAAATCCATAAAAGTTTTAATAGCAAAAAAGCAAAGAACCAAAAAATGTATAATTATGATTGTATAAAATTCTTAAAATATTCTCCTAAGTTTATCTTCAAAGTAAATATAATAATTTAAAGAATCTATTTCAATCTGAAAATAGTAAGTAAATATATAGATCCAATCAAGCTTTAGTCGACTGTTGTTTAAATGCATATCCAGTAAAAAAAACGAAAGGGGAAAGAAAAGGGGAGGTAAAGCGTGGGTGGCTTTCCCATCTTGGACAGCAGCTGTTGACCAAATGTGGACTTAGGACGTGCTTTTAATTTTTAAAAACTGCTCTTAAAACGCGATAAAACACGTTGAAATGGCAAATAAAGGACGGAAGAGGATGAACCATAAAAAATATTAAGTGAAGGAGAGTAAAAGATGAAAATTAGTAGAAGAGACCAACGAAGGCGAGTTACATATGTACTTAACCAGTTACATGTGTGTCTGTGTGATATATATATATATATATTTTTCATTCATATAGAGACACACACACACACACATACATGAGGAAATCCCAAGTTGGGAAATAAAAAATATGATAAAAAAAAAGGTGTGGGCGTGGGGAGGAGGGTTAGTCAGAGTGCTGGACAGTGCATCTTGAAAAAAATGTGTAAAGCGTGCATTTACATAATGAAAGATGTAGCAGTGCAAGTGTGTGAGATTTTTTTTTAAGAGTGTATGTGAGGCAAAAGGATTAGCGATGGTCGTCATGTGCGTGGCACAACCAAAAAAAAACCAACAAAAAATGGAAAAAATACGGGGAAAGGAAAAAAATTAAATTATAAAATATTGAAGCGAATAAGAAATGCGCAAGAGGGACAGAAAGGCGACAGCACTGCTTTCTCGCACAGCCACAGAAGCACTGAAAGAAATCTTTAATGCCATTACATTGCATCTATAAGTCTTTGAAGATTTTTGAAGCCATTTGAGGCGACATCAAACAATGTTAAATGGATTATTCTCTAAGATAAAAAGATGTTAATAAAACATAAAAGTTCTTTAATGTTTAAACTATATTTAAAATATTTACCAGATATTTTATTTTCAAATATTATTTTTATTAAAAAAAAGAAAAAGAAAATCTCTGAACCTTTAAAACAGGCTGATTTTCTCTTTGTGGAACCAAAATTAATGTCCTTTTAGATACAAATGCAATTTATAAGCGCCGTGTGTGTGAGGGGTCTCCAAAAATGCTTTCACATGGCTTCCATCACCCACTCAACCCACAACCCCATTTCTCTTTTTACATATTCCTTTTTTTTCGCTTTTTTCCAACATAATTTTGAATAGCATTAAAATTATTAGCTACAAATGAATAAAAAACGAGCAGGGAAGTGGGGAAAATGAGACTATGCGGTGCTGTTGGACAAAAAAAAAAAAAAAATTAGTGAGAAGGACTAGAAGTAGAGGAAAGAAATGGGCTGCTACGCCCATCATCCTTAGTCAACCCCCGAATTTTTTACCGCCCAGCAACAAATGCGCATAATGAGCTCTGGTCAGCCAGCCTAGACGGCCGTGGGAGGTTGCCATCGCAGAGATTTACGCGCGACAAGTTTTTCTTGCCCTTTTCCACAACGTAATTCTTTTTTATGCCCTATAGATAGGGTCTATAGATTTCGCCTGCTACTTGGTAAGCCAAAAACAATATAGTTTGAACTGCATTTCAAACACTTTTCTTGAATGGAAAAATCATTTTTCTATCTTTGATTATTATTTTTATAATGAAAAATTTAATTCTTAGAGGCATTTTATGGTATTAAAAACCTTGCTTAATCAATCTTCTATTTTGATTAAGATTAATTAAATCTTAGAGAAATTTTAGGGTACTAAAAATTCACTTAATCAATCTCCCACATAAGGTAGAATTTTTTGTATCTCCACCACATCCAGCTAAACACTTTTCAGTTGATATTGCAAATCCTTTTCGCTGGCGCTTACATAATGATATGTGGCCGCAGATGCCAAGTGAGGGGAAAATGAAAAATAAAATAAATTATAACAAAAAGTGGTAGAAAATAACGTCTGCTTCCTTTTTTTTTTGCATTTGCATGCAATTTGCCCGAAACGAGGAGAAGGGAACCCTCCATTTCTGTACAGTTAAGTAAAATCTCTTGTTTTTGGAATCATCTTTGATATCTTTGATCTTTGATTTGATTACAAAAACTAATATTGAAATCCATGTTTAAGAATTTCCTAAAAACTTACCAGTAAACTGCAAAGCATACAATAGATAAAAACATATTTTGGTTTTTTTAAACGTACATTTTAAAATCAGTTGTATTCTGTTATATCATGCTTGCTGTGTAATATATCAGTTAAACATAACTCTTAACTAGGCAAAAAAATTATCGATTATATAGTAAATAGGGTGACCGGTGTATATGTTAAAGTATGTATCTTATAAGCTTTATTTTTCCGAGTTTAGAGATGCATTTGATCCTCGTTTAGCTGTTTGGGACGTCGCTTTCGGCGCTTTCTTGCCTTACGCCTAAGACGATCGAATTTCCGGATCCGGTCGCATATAAAATGCTTTAGGTCATCGCCCTCGGCAGCTGATTGACGGCTGCACGACATTGTGAATAAAATTAACGAGTTTAGGTAGAAAAAGAAGCTTATATCGTAATCATCCATCGATGGTTTGCCCTTGGATCGATGATTGTTATTATGCTGATCCTTATACCGTTGCTCCCTTTCCCGTTCCTTTTGATAGTTACTAAAGTTATGCTTGCGCAACTTGGAAGCGGGACAATTGCTAGGCGATGGATGGGGTTCAAAGTTCGACCGCTGGCGCTTTGAACTGCTCAAATGTTCCCGTAAATAGTCGTAAATGCTCATGTTCCTTATGACGATCATGGTTGGTGTGGCTGTCTTCGTAATGGTAGTTATCATCGGTCCCGATTTATGCGGCGCCACATGCTGTAGATTTAGCCAACTGCCGCCTGCCGCCTGCACGCGAGTTGGCAACGATTTAGCCACTAATTTATTATTATAATTATTGGCCATCATCGTTGTCGTTTTTAATGTATTTAGCATTGGCTCATTGGTGTTATTATTGCCGATGTTGTGGCATCGGTCGCTGTTCTCTTGTTGATTTTCATAATCTTGATTGTGGTATGAATTTTGTGGGATTATTGTTGCTATTGTTTTGGATGTTTTGTGATCTACAGCAGTGACTGCACCCCGTCAATGATCAGCCACCAGCGGTCCCCAGAACATTTTCGATATCTTAGTATCGTCCTCGGTTAAAAAGAACTGACGGCCCAAGTGCACAAACTCCTTGAGCGACAATTGGCCATCGCCGTTCTTGTCTATCACAGCGAATGAAACGGCAGCATCGTCTTCGGTTAGTCCCAGACAGCGGAAGAAGAGCTTGTATTGTTCGAGATCTAAATGGCCAGTGTGATCAAAGTCCACAGCCTGAAATGGTTTTTGAATTAGCCAAAGAACAAGTAAAATTAAGAATTCAGACCTACCTTAAACAAATAGGGCAGGAAGCGACCGATGCGCTTGGCCATCTTTTTATCATTAAGACGATGATGCAGATCGGTGAGAAATTGCTCGGCAGTCACCAGATTGTATGGGGTTATCTCCCCGAACTGCTCCTCCCATGTATGTTTGATCACATCGTTGAACTCGGCAGCGACCTCCGGGGTCAAATGGCCTAGATCATTAAAGCGTTTGGCCAGCAAACTGAAGTCGTCGAAAGACACGACGCCGTCGTGGTTCACATCCAAAATGCGATGCAGAGTACGCATTTTTCGACGCCAGAAGGCTGAGTCGCCCTAAAAAATGATTTTTAAGAATTTAATTATTTGTTTTTTTTTTATTTAATATAAATGTGTATGTTTGATTTTTCGAAAACACAGGACTCCAATGGAAGATTTATTAACTAAGCTTTAGATTTCTTTTCTATTCTTAAACCAAGCTTTATTTTTATACAGCTTGCAACTGACTGAAAATGGCAAGTTAAAGCTTTTCAGACCAGGACTCGTAAGTACTGCTTTGGAGTCCTTTTGGAGAAAAGCAGTAAAAGCTGTACTCTAAGCCTTACGACTAAACTGCTTTTCAGGCTATACCTTACAGCATTTTCTGAACTGCTGTAAAAGGACTTAAAAGAAAAGCCTACGCTTTTCGATGCAATCCATTTTGTGTTTTGCAACTTAAAGCTTTTCAGACCAGGACTCGTGAGCACTGCTTTAAAGTCCTTTTGGAGAAAAGCAGTAAAAGCTATAATCCAAGCCTTACGACTAAACTGCTTACCCTACAGCTTTTTCTGAACTGCTGTAACAGGACTTGAAAGAAATGCCAGCGCATTTCGATGTAATCTATTACCAGGACTCATTAGTCCAGGACTCGTTAGTACTGCTTTAAAGACCTTTTAAAGCAAAGCAGTAAACGTTGTACACTAAGCCTAACCACTAAACTGCTTTACAGGACTTGAAAGAAATGCCAACGCTTTTCGATGTAATCTATTTTATGTTTTCCAAGGGAAAGCCATATTTAGGTATATTAAAGACCGAAACAAAGCTTTGATCTTTAAAAAGCCTGGTTTCCAAAAACCGGTTACCATTGTAAACTGACCACTGTTAACCAGATTACAATGTTATACTATTTTAAAATACCGCAGAGCAGGTTCAAAAAACGACATTGAGAGCGCGATAACCAAATTTCGAAACACGTTTCTTGGCTTGTCAAGCGAAAACAATTGAAATTTCTCAGCCACGTGGAGGTGTGTGTTTTTGTTTGTGGGTTTCTTTTATGGGTTACACATTAATATCTGAGCAATATTATGCATTTTTCAAGCAGTTCACTCACCCGTTCGCTGCGTTTGGAATCCGTTTTCTGGCGACGTCGCTCGAACTCATCGTCCGAATCGGAATCGCTATCACTTTCCACCTCACGTCGCAATTTGGTTGCTCCGCCGGATTTCTTAGAATATTGACGGACAGCCTGGACCATGGATGTTGGCATTTGATGCCACAATAGTCCATGAATATTACCACCAGTTGCCAAAAAATAGCGCTAAAATTAAAAGAAAATTCATAATATTTAAAAATGATCTAAAAAATAATGTATAACAGTAACTGACAAAATCCGTGATTTTGGTCTTAAATGTAACACTAGAACATGACCCAAAAAGCTTGTTGTTTTATTTATTTTTATTGCTATAACCCCATGCTGAATGCTCTTTATTTGTTGATATGGTTTCTATACGACCTTCGGCCCATTATGTTTTTTTTAATTACAACTCAGCAACACTGCTGTTTTCCTCTCATTTTTGTTGTTATTTTCCTATTGTTAAGGTCAGTTCTGTTTACTCACAAAACAATTCTAAACCCGATTCGTTATCTCGTTTTTTACGAGTATTTTGTTTGCCACAAAAAAAAAGAGGTGCCGAGAGTGACTGTCAAAATTGTTGTATGAGTTCTTGAAATTCATTTTACAGTTTGAGAGCCCCTCATCATTAGTAATAAAAAAAACCACGTGGCGATCATGTAACAAACAGTGGTAGATGGTAATAAAAACCAGTTGGAGAAAAAGGTTATGTAATTGGAAAAGAAGAAAAGAAATTAAGAAAAGTCCAATAAGATATTAGAGATATAGGATAAGTTAAAACAACAATGACCAGGAGAAAAAATTGCATAATTGAAAATGAAAAAAGATAATTTTAGATGCGGAAAAAAAACCGTTCGAAGAAATGATTTTTTTCTATTCATCACTTCAACAGCTTCTGTCAATGTTATTGGAAAAAGATAAAGACTTGTCTTCTTTTTAATTACAAGAGACCGAAAACTCTTGTAAACGTTTTAAATTTCAATGGCACTCTCGATAAGAAAGAATCCGTATACAGATGTTGCCAGCCACCGACGACGACGATGATATCATACCCCATATACCATTATCATAAAGTCCGCACGCTTATTTTTTGGAACCTTATTTTTCGGCTCCGCCACTTCATTTGGTTAAACGAACTTTGGATTGTTTCTTTTTTTTCGTAAACAAGTTTCTCCAAAATACGAATTAATGAATGCGAAAAAACGGGCCTCTTTTCATTTGAATGTCTGCGCGTCTCAAAAACAAAAAAACACGTTTCGACCATAAGAAAATCAAACAAAAAAAAAACAATGACAATGATGTATGTAGAAGATTCAGAGAGTCGTCGGCAAATAAAAATCAAAGTCGAGCAACAGGTCAATGTTAATCAACAGCAAAAAAACAAGGAAATACGCGGATAAAAACAATTGATAAAAGAAATTTCCTGTGATTCTAAAGCTTACTTTTTTCGAGGGAAAAACAAAATTTGGAAAAGGGGAGGAACTCTCTTATTATATCCAATGCTTTTGCGCAATAATTTCATGCAACAGAATTTGCGCAGTTTTCCGACTCTCAAACTGTGAGGAGTTTGTTGTTGTTGTTGGTGCGAAAGGAAAGCTAGCTTTCACCTGAATACACAGTGGAAAAATAACACTAAATATAATGTTGGCATAGGTGGGTTACATTTATTTGGAGTCAACATAATATCATAAATTTTGTTTTGAAACCGAAACATTTATGTAAATATTGTTTATACATAGTCGCCGGTATTTTTATAGTTAACAAATAATGTAAACAAAAAGGTGTAGGCAAGACATCAAATAAAAGTTACCTTTTGAAATTTTAGAAAATAACCAGCGCTCTTTTTTCAATGTAATTTTTCTTTTGTTTGTCTTTCGGTTTTTGGTTTTATTAAGGTAAATGTATATTTTGGCGCCTGTCTTCAAATTTATTATTGATTGATTGAATTGCTACGCCCTTTAATGATTGATATTTAAGACATTGCCATTAGACAAATGAACGTTCTCAATCAACCGTAGAACTTTTATAAATCCGAAACTTTTTATCTACAAAGCCGCTTTCGAAGAAGTTTTTAATAATTGGAATAGAATTTTTTTAATAAGCAAGATTTATATAGAATGTACAATTATACAATACAAAAATTGAAGTTTTCCCGTAGAGGTCTTACAGTTTGTGATACACTGTTACAGTTTATTTTCACTGGCCTCATTTCGTAAACTTCCCTCTCCTAATTTTCACTCTCCGCTTCCCCTGCTATATTTTTCCTCCCCACCTACTCTTCCCCTTTTGCTTATTTTCGAATTGCGATTCTATTTTTCTGGTTTGTTTTTGAGTTTGTTTCTGGGGAAACCGTTTATTTGGATGTTTTTAAGCAGAAAACTTGTGTTTTTGTAACTTACATGACAATCACTGTGCGAAACGGGCGTATTTGGGGGCGGGGAGGCGGTCTGCTGCAAAACGCCGACAGTTGCGGCCATGTTGCGTTCCAGGATTTCTCTCGAAGTGCGCAAAATGCTACGGCTTACAATCGAGAATGCCATTTTGTTTTTTGGTTAAGTATTCTTTTCTTAATTTTTCCTCAATTTTTGATTCTTCTCCTTATAGTTTGAAATGCACTGAAGAAAATGTGCAACGTTGCTTTTTTTATGGTATTTGTTGTTTAACTCTTGCTGTTGTCTTTATTGCAGCGCGCATTTAACAACCGGTTTTCTTTTGAAGATGCACCACAAAAAAATGTTTTCTTTGATCGTATATTTTATTACACTTTTTTTCGGTAACGTATTTTGTTGATTTCTCTGAGGTATCAGTTCTTACTGTTTTTTGAATATTGTTTTTTTTTTGGGCTTGGGAGGAAACACAACCGTTCGCTTAAGCGTTCGAATTCGTTTTGAAAACCATCACTGCGCAAAGAAAAGAAGTTGACGTCGACGCCTGTAAAAGCAGAAGCGGTCTTTCAATGTGTGTGTGAGAGCGAGAGTGTTAGTGTGTTTATATCTGTGCATGGGCAGCATAAGAAGGGTGCGGGGACAACAACAGCTGCTTCTTGGGATTGTTACCAGAAACAGACCATACATACACAGTTGCGGCCAAGAAAATAGTAAATAGTTACAACACCGAAAAAATTAAAAAAAATAATATTTAAGTTTGATGGTCTTTGAATTATCATGAGAAACTAATATTATAGGTTTTAAGTATTTGAATGTTGAAAATTTGTATAACCCTTAAACATTTTAAATTACAAGCTGAGAATTTTACATGTTCTCTTTATCGTGACCAGTGCTGTATTACGGTTCACATTCGCTTACATACACAGACAGACCATGTAAGCCGGTTGAAGAAGAAAATGAAGCAAAAGAATAGGAAGAAGGAGCAAAAGCAACAGCAAAAACAAACTAGCGTACAAAGCAGTGCTTGTCAAACCTCGCTTAAATGCTAAATTTTATACGTTTTCATATGGAAAGACCAAAGGAAAATGCATTTAATAAACATAAAAACAAACATATGCAGAAACATAACAGTTTACCATTGATAATGTAAACGAAAGAAAACAAAGACAAAAACAAAAACCAAAAAAATTCAAAAACACAATATCATATAATGTGCGTATTTAGGTCGCTGCGTGTGACAAACTGTCGGTCCAATACAATATGCTCCAACTCACCCTTCATCCCTCGCACCATGCCCTCCATAAAGTACCCCCTCAAATACACACACGGACAAGATTGAAGAAACACCCATGCATACACGCACAAATAGTTTCTGTCTTTCCGTTTCTATTCTACTTCATTGCTCCACGAAAAACGCATTTTTGTACGCACATTTGCGGTCAAAATTATAGTTCTGTTACAAGGTTTTTTACTTCTACTAATTTTTAATATTACTATACATATGTATGTTCATGCAAATGTAGTAGGTATAGTCTCAAAGTAATATTACCATATCTTTTTCATCAAAATCAATCAAAATCAGTAACCCGAAATAGCACTATTAGTAGTACCTCAACTGTTGACTCCTCCACTCTTACACACTTGTTACATATGAACATACGCATGTATGTAGTTGTACGTGTGAGATTGTATAATAGTCTTGATCAAATAGAGCGCCAATGGACTTGGACCCAAAAAATAACCGAAACAAAAATAACAACAACAAAAAGAACGAACCAAAAAAAAAAATAAGGATTGATTTAAATTGGACCTATCAGTTGGCCGGTAAAAATTAAAGGGAATTATCTGCTCCACTAATCTTCGACTATAGTGGTCGTTTTAATCGTATTCATTTGCCCATCAAGATCAATATGCCTCTATAAGCCCTAAAAGTTTGGCAAGCACTGGTTCCGCGTAGAAGTGCAACATCTTGTGTACAAAATGCAACAAAAATGGAAGGCCCCCCTTTAACTATACCGTTTTGAATGCGGCAAACGGAGTGCACTGCACTCTGCGGAGGCAAAAACTTGGAATACAGACAGAAAACCGAAACATGCAAGCTGGTCGGGAAGTTTCCAAAGCGGTTTATGCGAAGGTCATATCATGATATCTTTAACTAAATCCGGTTATTAAAATTTTGGAACATTCTCTTCTAGTACAGTCGGATTTTAAAGAATTCTTGACCTTAAAATGAAGAATTTTTCGCCGGTTACAGATTTTAGAAGGAAAGAATAAAACTTTTTGCATACATAATTGACATTTAAGAAAAAAAAAACTTCTACAACAGTCATAATATATGATATAGTATCAGTTTCCAACGCCTAAACATTATTAAAGATATCTTGTGAATAACTGATCGTCCCTCTATTCCGCATAAACGTCACTTGTTTTGGGGTGGCCGTACAATGTATGCTTGGAACAAGAACAACCGGCGCATCGACTGTCTGCCTGAGGTCTGCTGACTTTCCAAGCGTCACGTAACGCTCAGGTCCAGGGACAACAATAGCAACACAAAACAACTGCAAACACATGACCACCAAAAACAGGGTCTCAGCTATATAGTATATATATATGTACGTATTGTATAGAGTGTGTGCAGTTTAGCATGCGCCCGCTACAAATACATAAATTATAATCTATTTGCACCGCTGCACCTGCAAAAATAAATAAAACGAGAATGGAAAAAAATAAACACCAACAAAATTGGAGCCACACGACAGTCTAATGACGTCACATATGGAGCTATTAACATTACAACCACGATCCACATGACATCTACTGCTCTATAAGTAGCTCCAAAAAAAAATTCAATTGCCGAAAATTAAAATGCGTAATAAACAAGCGCGCGGAAAAATAAGGTGTGCAAAGTACAGTACATACATATTCTCGGGGATATTGTTTAAATTTAAATATTTATGGATTTTATGTTTATTTATAAATTGTATTGATATTGATTTAAAAACTACCATAAAATAATGCATCATAATATCTTTTATGAGTCTGATGTTAAATACAGAATTCTTATAAGTTTTTTTCGTATATAACACCCAAAAATATCAGATGTGATTATCTTTTCACTGCTACCTTAGCTGGGGACCACTGTATTGTAATTGTAAGTCCGCTCCCAAAATTTGTGCTTCTGTATTAAACATGTGTATGTTTTTGGGCGTGTGCCGGGGATCTAATCGGTATGGTTGGATTGATGTTGACACACACACGTGTGTTTAGGAACGACGCGTAGTGCCCAGACCAAAGAATATTGGACAAGATCGTCTCGAAAGGGAAGCCTTGTGCTTCATGCTCTATGCTTTTTTTTTTTTTTGGTTTTTGCTTCTGCGTGTCTAGTATTTCTTGTCGTGCTCTTCAAGGTCCGCAGTTTCACAGTTTTGATGCCATTTCAGATTTCCGCAACGCCATTAAAATGATGTGCGTATGTGTGAGTTGCTTGAGAGTCTGGTGTGTTGTTGTTTTCCCTGCTTTTCAATTTTTTGGCGTACGTGTTGCGCCCCAACGCCGGCTCAAAAAAAAAAAGTTAAAAAAAAACAAAAATAATAAAAAAAAAGAAAAGCAAAACAAAAAAAGAAAAACAACAGCAACATGTGAGCGATTTTATTATTGTTGGTCTTTGATGCTATTGAACTGAACTGGCAACTGTGGAATTTAGTTTGTGTTCTGGTTATCTAGAACTTACCAGAAATGTAACAAAATCAGATATCAGATTAGCAATTTCAATAGAAACAATATCATTTGATAGATTATATTAAAATTTTTAATATAAATTTGTATATTTTCTCAATGTTTTCCATGAGTTTTTGAAGAGTTAAGAATTGTTTTTCTCAGTATGCGGATTTTGGCACGTCGACACACCGGCGACAGAGGCAGCGACGACGGCAGAGAAGTCGTGCTGCGCCTTTACATTAAATGACATAAAATTAAATTGCGTTGTGGAGTGGTGTGTGTTAGTTTTCCAGTTGCCTGCACCACCAGAAAAACAACAGCAACAAAAAACTAGAAATGCCAGCGACTACGTGCCACTTGCAACGCATCCTTTTTCCTAATATTGTGGTAGGTTTTCATTTTTCCTAATTGATAAAAATATATTTATTTTTAAGTGAAAATACGAAGTGAAGCACTCTTAATTAAGGCTTTTAAACAAAAAGGATCAGGATTTAAAACAGCAAATAGAAGCAAAACCGTAAAACCTTTTTAATATGTGAAAATTAATAAATTAAACAATTAAATAAAAATAGGATAGAAGCATACATACTTAAATGACCAATAAATCTTTTCCGCTTGAACTCTTTCGTTTCACCTACAAAATAGGTTTTGCTAAAATGATTTATTTCTTTGAGTGTACTAAATTAAATTACAGCTGACGGTCGCCTTATCAGCGACCTGCTTATAATGGCTGATAAAACCCGAAAAACAATAGCAACACCGAAATATAAAAATAACAACACATGACTTTCCTGACCATTCGCGGGTTACAAAACTCAAAGCCGAGAGATAAAAGCCAGACCAACTTTAATGCAAAGATTAGGCCAGAAAGCAAATACGATTTGAAAATGAAAAGGGCAAACAAACACAAAACAGATTTGGAAATTGGGAATTGCTTTTCGAAAATGTTCGGTAAATAAAGTGACTCTGGAAATTCAAATCGCATTGTTTACCATTTTTCTAGGCTAAAGGGTTTGGGGAACCCACTAAATAATTTTGTTTTAAGCGAAAAAAACAGCTTATTATTGTATTAATAAATATATTTTTTAGGGCTATCAATTTTTCACAAAAGTAATATAATTTAATCTTCTTCTCGAACCAATAAAAAAATAAAGAAAAAAGAAACTTAATGAATCTTTCACAAATCACTAAAAGGATCAAAGAAAACTGACAATTTCCTACTGAAATAAATCAAATAAAAGTCTATAATTTGGGGATTATAAATGTAAAATCAAAAGATTTATGGCATTTGCCTTCGGTGGTAATGATAAATTAATTCAATTATTTTTTATTTATGGCCAATAAACACACTTTTTAGGGCTTGTGCAATTGACCTTCGACCACTAACAGCATTCTGAAAAAGGGAAAGAAAACAAAAAACAACAACGTGGCCCAGAAAAACAAAACAAAAACATGTGAAAAATCTAAACAAACATGTGAGTTTTTTGGTGTATCTCACACAAACATACTTATAACCCTGACGACAGGCGATTGAAAGCTCCTTAAGTGCCAAGTGGAGATCCATCACACACTGAAAAAATAAGATTATATTAATACAATAGTAAGGTTTTTATTTTTTCGACTTTAAACATTAATATTACATTATTCATATTATAAACTTTAAGAGCAATAAAAAGGTTTCGGTTTCAATTTTTTGTAGACTTCTTTGACACGTCACAATTTTCCCTGGAAATACTTATAAAAAATTAGATAAAAAACTATAAAGATAACTTATATTAAATATTTTTAACATATTTTTCTCTGTGCAGAAAGCAACTCCCGTTCAGCATAATTGTAAATTGGTTTTTGCTTTGCCGCCGCTTGCTATTTTTAGCTGGTAAATAGAATTTTTTGCTTTATCTTCCAAGAAGAAGAGTGAAAAAGGGTAATTTTGTAACGCCGACGTTGCCACCGGCACGTTAACACAAAAAATTGTGCGTAAACAAAATTGTAAAAAAAAAAATGGGTAAACAACAACAAGCCATCAACATCAACAAACTTATCGAAAACTTAACAATGAATTATAATCATTCTTTATGGGGGCGGAGAGTAGCATTTTGATAGCCATTTTGGTATTCGTTATTTGCCATAAACATTTATGTAATGATTAATTCATCACTGATAATAATAAGGTTAATTTATTATTATTCAATACTTGAATGCGCGCCATTTATAGTGTTGTAAAGTGTTAATTTTTACGTCGATCTATCGATAAATTACAATTCAGGCTATTGCTCAATCGAATTTAAGTGTAAGTTAAACATCGTTATGGCTTCATAATAAATATATTTTTTGCAATCTACTATAATTTTTAACATTTTTACAAATATGTTCAAAAAGTTGAATGCCGTTTAACTTTTTAATTTAAATAATTTCATATTTAATATGATTCAGAAAGCCAATAGCTTATCTCCCCAATTCTCAACGTTGGCAAATGGATATTCTGAAAATGTGAATGGGTAATAACTTTTGAATTACTGCAACTTGGTCGTGCAAAACTGTCTAGAGATAAAATAAACCAAGCCGTCATAAAATTTTAGAATGCATATAGACATATATAAACAGTTTGCAATTGGTAAAGAACTGAAAGAGTTCCAAAATGTTGGACTCTACGGTTTTTATTTTATTCTTAAATTTTATGATCTATTGTATGGCTGATAATTACTGCAGACCGGATCTTTGTCCCAGCAGAATCAACCATATTGCATGTGTAAGTGACTTCTAAGTACAATTTTTGTTCAAAATTAAATTTGTATAAACCAAATTCGGTAATATATTTATATAAATTGTAAGCAGCAAAATCGAAACGGCTCTTTTGGTACCAACTGTCCAAAAAATGTTACTGTTGTTAAACTCACTCAGGATCATAAAAATCTTCTAATCAAGGCTCACAATATAGTGAGACAAAAATGGGCCAGTGGCAAGGCAAAGATTCGAAGGCTCGCCTGCAAAATGGCTACTATAGAATGGAACAAGGATTTGGAAAATTTGGCACTACTAAATGCCAAAACCTGTCTTATGGAGCATGATTATTGTCACAATACCGAAAAGTTTCGTCAATCTGGTCAGAATTTATTTGCAGCAGGATTTTGGAAATCAATGCCGATCACCACAAGGGAATTGTTGGAGATAGCAGTTCAGATGTGGGCTGGTGAGGAAAGGGACATAAAAGCTTCGGATTTGCAAAAGTTACCCGTGACTCAACCAAAGTTAGTTATTTATTTTATACACTGAACCCTAAATAACAGCTGCATTTATTAATTCTTCAGAGTCATAGGTCACTTGACCGTTTTGATCAATGAAAAAAATGATGCCGTGGGCTGTGGTCTTGTTTCTTATACAGTTGGCGAAGATCGGAAATTCAATTTGGCCTGTAACTACGCCTATTCAAATGTCTTGGGGCAGAGTGTCTATAGCGAATGCCCCACAGCAGGCAGCAAGTGTCGCAAGGGATTAAACTCCCAGTATCCAGCATTATGTGCGTAAAAAATAAATTTATAGTTTTAGTCTATTACTACCAAAGTTATATATTATAAAAAGATCGAAAAGGACCAATAATCATTAAGACCCTTAAGCTATATTATACATTGTATGATCGTTTCAATTGAAAATATTTAAAATTATTATTGGTATATGGCAAAAAAAGATATTTTGGATAACATTGCGAAAAATCACATGAATTTGAAGCTAAGTCTGACTTAAGACTAGTCTATTTCGATACGAGAGTCTTGAAAACAGTGGGGCACTTGTGTGCCGGCAGATGGCGATAGCAGTACGTTTTGATTGCATCCAAATCTATATCCGCATCCGGTGGTACAATGCATATAACACCAAGACGATGGCCCCACAACTTATTTGGTATACCCAAGACAGCCACATCGTTGATATTCGGATGTGAGATCAATACCTTTTTGATTTCTGATCCATACACCTTATAGCCGCCAACAGTAAAGACGTCACTGGTTTTGCTCAGAAAATAAAAATTTCCATTCTGATAGGCACAAATGTCGCCGGTTTTAAAGAAATCATCTTGAGGATTGTCTTGTTGAGTGGATGATGTGTTAGCCGGTACGATTTGCTGATTATTGATGGCCAATGAATTGGATACCAAATGCGAGCCAGCTATCTGAAGTTCACCAATTACGGTTTGGGCCAAGCATGTATCACCGCCAATATCTTCAACCTGTATAAGACCATGATCCACAGTTCCACCGAGTTCGTTCTTACAGGTTATAAGTTCAGCACCCTTATTGCTTATCAAACGGGCTGTTACTCCCTTTAAAGGAGCACCCAAAGTTCCCGGACGATAATCATTTAGGGCTGAAATACTTGAACTTGCCGAGGAACTCGATGCCGATGAAGATGTACTCGAACTATCACGATGGGGTTCATCCAGAGTATGACCCAAAACCAAACCAGTTTCAATCATTCCATAATATTCGTATATGTTTTGTCCCGTAATCTCGCGCCATCTATAAAACACCGAGTCCGGTAGCAAGGCATAAGCGGTGGCCATCAATCGGATCTTATGTCGGCAATGATTCACAATATATTCAACCATTCGCGAATCTTTGGAAAACATTTTCTCATATTCGGCAATCAATCGTTTGTAGACAATGGGCATGGCCAAAAAGAGAGTTACACGCTGTTTAGATGGACTATTTATGCCTAATAGAGCGCTCCAAGCATTATGTCCATCAAACTTTTGCTGTAGTACAACATTGCCGCCTACATTTAGAATTGCACCCAAGGCAGCATGCATTCGATTCATGGATATAATAGGCAGCATACAATCTGCAGGTCCCAAACGCCAACTACCGATCAAACATCGTATCTGGGCATCGATATTACGATGCGTCAATAGCACTGGTTTTGGATTATTCACCGCATTAGGCGTATAGATTAGCATTGCCGGTGCCTTAGCATAGAAATCACTTGGCAATGTACTCTCCGTTAGGATAACTCCCTGAGTTCCAACCAACTGCTTGGCATACATCGATGTTGAGGATACACTCTCAGCCGTTGGTACGAATGCGTGATCCAATATAATGGTGGCCGATTGCAATCCCTGCGATAACTCCTGGGCAAGGGGCTCAAATTCTGGTGTGGCTATTAAAAGTTTGGTTTTGCAGCTCGATGCCTGACGACGCAGTTGATCCATCGCTTGGCCGGATTCTAGGGGTACTGCCACCTGACCTGAAATCCAACAGCTCCACTGGATAGTAACCCAAAGGGCGTTATTTGAACACAAGTATGTCACATTTGATAGCGAGGCACTGCCTATAAGGGTAAAAATATATATGAACCGATCGATATGCATATTATCATATATTAAAGATATCTTTAGCTGATTCGATATCTAAAAAAAAACTTAATTTAAAAAACTTACCGCATATATTTGAGATCTGGATGGCCAGACGTTTGGCGGCCAAATATAACTGGAAATAGGTGTATTCTCCTGTGATGTCCTTTACAGCGATCTCATCCGGATAGAGCATGGCCTTCTTGAACGTGGGCACCACCAGATTACTGCGTTCATCCTCATCAAAGCTATGACGCAGCTTTTCGATAAAGCCATCCTAGAAAAAGGGATCAAGGAATTAGAGAACTAAGATTTATAAAGTATTTATGCTTACCTTATGAATTAATTCAGCGGAGCAAAGACGTATCCAAGGACGCAATTTTAATTTGTGGCAACGTCGCAGTAAAAGCATCTTTTTAAATTTTTTTTCAATATTTTTTTATTAAGTGGTGTTGGTGCGAAAACACTTAATAAGAGTAGATGGTACGGAGAGCAGAATTTAGCTCCGATTTTCAATTGCTATCGCTTGAAAAGCCAAAACGATTCTGAAATTTCTACCATGACATACTTGGGAGTGCAAAAGACAAACTCATTTAAATTTAAGTGGTTTGATTTTGTTGGTCTTTATTTACACAATAATAGTTTGCAGACACAAAAAATAATAATTACAATAGTCATAATCGTAAACGTAATGATAAGTAAAAAAAATGATTTATTTCAAGTAATATGTAAGTCACAAGTTTTCGTTTTGGTATTTTTTTTGTGTTCGTTTTTCGATTTGTTTTGATTGTTCGTGTTTTTTTTTTTGTTTGTGACCTTTACATAAAACTAAAAAATGTCGTTTACAACGATCCTGGCATGAGAACTCGAACGTGCATGGGTTTTTCTCTTTATATTTGTTTTTTTCTTTTGGGTTATAAGAGGAGGTGCAATTAAAAAAAAACTCTTAAAAAACCTACATATTTACAGTCTAAGATTGAACAAAATTAGGGGCCAACTGTTGTTTTGGGGACATTTTGGAGATTATGGCATTAAACCGATTGTTCCTATGGCTGTTTTTATCATACATTTATCATACAAAAACGTATAGGAATTATAATCGAGGGATTTTCTATAACCGATTTATATATGGCAACAAAAAACCTTGAGAGGACCGGTCGGAAAAACGGAAACAAGTACAATTTCGGTGTATTAAAAATCTAGTTTCATTAAATATACAATACATATATTTAGCACAAATCGCATACACATTTTGAAACTTTTCGTTACGTCCAGAGAATTATATTTAATATAAGATTTTCGAGTGCAATCAAGTGGCGGGCAGTGCTGGCTAAAATTTAACAGTTTCACAATTAACAATACAATCACAGATTACGAATTTAACATAACAAAAAATTGAACGATTCGAATGGTTTTTTTTTTTTTTTTTTTTTGGCAGGGCGGAGGAAGGGACAGTTTTTGGGATTTGGAGATTCGGAGCACTCCCTTCCCTCGTCTTCTAGCCTGTTTTTGTTTGTTTTTAATTTCTATTTTCTTTTTGTAGAACTGTAAGGCACTCGGCAGTCTCTTCTTTTTCACTTATTCTCAAAATTAATGGAAATATTCAGTTACTGGCTTGTTAGTTTTCAATATTTGAAATCTTTTTATAAAAAAAAATTTAGAATTATGAAAGGAAATTATAAGTTAAGACTGTTTGAAATAATATTTGCCTGGGGGCTTAGATTGAAAACAATTTTTTTGGTCAAATAAAACATGGATTATCACCTCCTGGTCCACCCCAAACCCCATTGCACCCGGTTCGATCCCAGGATCTCTGGATGCCCGCCCGATCCCTACTCCCAAAAATCCTCAGATCTTTCACACTCGCTTCGGTTTGCTGACGATTGTATAGTTAAGGCCATTATAGCTGCGATGATCGATGGCAGCTGCATCGAGGTTGCTTTTGTTGGCTGTGGCATTGTTAATGTTGCCACTGCCGCCACTGATGTTACTATTGGAGATTCCTAGATTATTATTGTTGTTCGTAGTACTACTGGTCTTTCGCAGCACCCCGTAGCCAAGATGGCTATCATCGGCCTTACGGAAACTTTCCGTATCAGGACTAGCGATCAATTCGTATTCATTGGGTGAACTGCAACGGTTTCGATTACCTGGCAGTGTGACATTCACAATGGTCTTGTAGCCACTCGATGTCTTATTGTTCGGAGATAGAAAATCCAAACGATCATAATTGGAATCACCGATGGAAGTCGCACTTGTACAACCCTCACCAATATCAATGTCTATGATTTTGGGTGTGTTCGGAACACTACAGGTGGATTTTGTGACCGATCGCTGGCGTACAAATTCTGAGGTATCGCAGAGTATTGGCATACGTTCACAGTGCCTAACATCGCCCACGCCCCTGGTGCGCCACGCCTCTGTTATATTCTCGATGCACTCGTAATCCCGCTCTGGTGGCGGCGCCTTTGGGGCGCTCTCATTTCGCAGCGGCAAATCAGGCGGTAAATCGGGTGCAATATCTGGCAGGTTTATCGGTTCGCCTTCCAAAGGTTTCAATATCACCGAACTGTTCACGTCTGAGGTGGCGGATGGCGAGGATATCGTCGTTATGGCCACAGGCTCATATTTCACAACGTTCCTGTATTTATCACAATGGGTTGTTGGGCTGACTCCACCCGGTTTGCGTGGAGGTTTATTGGGAATGTGTTTACTGTTAGTGCTGTTGCTGCTATTTGCGGGTACAGATAGTGTGATTCCACCGGAAGAATTTCCTCCACCACCCGCTGTAGCTCCAGTTCCTACACTGCCACCAGCCGAAAAGTTGTTTAGCGAATCGTTGGAACTAATAAAACCCCTTAGGGAAATGCAACTTTGCGTTGAATTTATCTCGAATTCTCCACCATGGGGATTACTCGATGGCGATGGTGGCAGGGGACTTCGCGAACCGGGTTCCATGCCAGCAGCCGCACTAAATTGATTTTCACCGCACTCCAAGGTGCTCAGACTATCGCCGCTAATTAGTTTCTTCATCGATTTCATTTTGGCAGACATGCAGCGGAATACCTCCTGCGGATTGGTATGATCCAAAGTGAAAACACCTTCGCCGGTGGTGCATTTTCTGCCAGCCTCGAAAGTGAACTTACCATCCCGATAGCCGTACTTCCTTATAAATCGATACGGCCACATGGCAATTATAGCACCCATATCCTCTGATTTCAACTGAAGTTCAGTGGGTGTCATCTGGAGCATATAGGTCTTGGGTTCGATGCAGCAACGAATGGAGGCCTCTGAAGGAATTAACGTGATGATAAAAAGGCCATCCTGCAAAGGAAAAATGGAGAGTTAATAATGAGGAATTGTATATTCATAATTAACATATATAATATGTAATATATTCTACCTTGGAAGCACTTAGTTTTCATATCTATATAACCAACTCAAGTTCTGAACTATCCTCAGTCAAAATAGTTGGCATTGCTTTTTAAAACAAATTGAAAATTGTACAAGTTTTATACATTGCCTACAGCCATTGATACCATTTTTGTGATATAAAGTTTTTCAAGTATTTTTCTATTCAAAATTCAAAGTTAAAAATTAAAACTTTTAGAAAAATTATGTCTGAGATTTTAGAGAATCAGAAGGAAGACAATGAATCGGACGAAAAGGAGCTTAAGGTGCCAAACGAAAATGATTACAACCATTTCACAAATAGCGCCAGTAGCACCGATCTGTTTTTTGAAAATTCCATGAAGCTGCAATACGAACTGCCTTTGCCCCTTGAAGAACCCTTTGACCTCCGAGTGGGAAACTTTGATAATGTTCTTGATCAAATCAATGGCGTCAATAGAAATTTGACAAAAAATCTAATGCCGATGATATCAGTTAGTCAAGTGGAATGCTTATTGGATCCGAAGGGAACCAAGAAGTCGGCATTAGAACAAGCCTGGTTTGATTCTCCGGGAACACCACGTTCATTTCTTGCTGAAGAGATGATGACTTTATTGAAAACTAGCATAAAACCCAATTTGACAGTTATAGTAGAGGGAAAGTATTTTAGGTGCCACTCTATGGTTCTTGGATTGCTATCGACCCTCTTCCATCGCCAGGATTGGGCCCATACACATATTTTCCAGCTGCCCTCATCGATAATTACCGCCCGAGCCTTTGCTTCCATGTATCGTTGGGTTTTGGAGCCATGCGATCATATGTCCTTCGATCTCCTATTGGAGATTTTCTACGCTTCCCGTTTCTTCGGTTGCCAAGATATCATCGACAATTTATGGAATGGAGTCGATGAAGGTTCTCGTACTCCGGAAGGAGCATTATACTTATATATAGGCAGCATTAAGCTAGGACTTCATCTAGAGGAGAGTCTGCTATCGCGATTGGGCAGTATGTTTCTTCTATTTGTCGGTAGCCAGGAATTTTTGCTTCTCGAGATGAACACAGTAAAGAGATTCCTAGATTTGCCCTCACTGGCTGTTAACTCGGAATTGGAGGTGGGTTTTATCTAATTATTTGTTTAGCTTTTTTGGATATAATTCATCGTTAACAACTGTCTAATCTCTTTAGGTTTTTTATTCCTTAATAATTTGGCTGAATTACAAGTGGCCACAGCGTAAAGAATTCGCATTTAATATGATAAGTGCCATACATTTTGACCTAATGCCTTTCTTGTTCCTAATGGCAATTGTAGGTGAAATGAAATGTGGTCCTCCAGTTATCCAAATGTTGCTGACTAGTCCGGAAATTCGAGTGCAAGCTTTTGAATCCATGAAAAAAATGTAAGTTGCGATCAGTTAAGGCTTAAATACGGATCATCAATTGTTAAAAACTATTCCAATAGAAAGAAATATAAGTATAGGTATCTGGGACGTTTTGGGGATTTTTCCCGCAACTGGATCTACGACTATCGAGCGCCCCATCATCATGGGGTTAATTGCAAGCAGATTCAGTACTACGAATTAGACTCTTTTTTGAGTTATATTAAATGGCTGCAGACCGCTGGTATAAATCACTTGCTCGCTGTACGTGCCATTGATGATCCCAAAATAAGATGCTGCCCATTCCACGAAAGACCTTAATTTGTATGTAATCTAGCAATTAAAAGGTCTAGGAACTTGTAATATAATCCATCCAACTTGAGTTTTATAAGTGTGGTTTGTGCAATATATTAATCTGGTTACACAGAAAACCTTCACTAAGAGCTGTATCAGACAATTTATGGGTTCTATAAAATGTGAATTTCTTGGCAATTTTTCTGCATTAACGTTACTTTAACATTCACAGATCATTTTAAATAGAATGTGATAGTTTTAAACTACTATAAGATTCGAAATTAATTATTGAAAATCACATCCCCCTTTCATCGACACACCCCTGTTAGTTTTCGGGTTTAATAAAATGTGATCACTCACAAAAGAGCTGCAGTACAGGTCATTGTCCTCCTCGATGGCCCCAATTCCGACCGATTGTGAAGTGTCGCAAAAGGCCACCGTTTGGAGGGCGGTGATCCAGTCCTTCAGCTCCTCCTCGCTGCTTGTGCTCAATGTCAAATTAACATGTCGTTTGACGATATGGATAAGGCGATCGGGCGGTGGTTCCTGCGTGATCTTCACACAATTCTCAAGAGTGAAGATCTTCGGGTTGCGATCCTCCTTGCTTTCGCACATCTCCAGTCGGGCTATACCATGACGACTGGCCTTGAATAGCAAACAGTAGCGACTGCATGCTTTCTGCAAATGAATGAACTTAATTAGATTTCATTACTAACATTAATATTACTTAATAACTATGCATAAGTAGAGCATAGATTCTGACTTACATAATGGGATTAGCCCTTGACTACTCATCAATCAACACCTAACCGCCCCGACCCCCCAATCCACCACCACACACACACACACACACACTTTTTGCAAATCCCACTATTTCCCCTTCTCCCCCTAGTTTACTGCTGGCTCAAGAATTTCCTGTCGCACATAAACACAAATACCATGAAATCGTATGAATCGCCAGCTGTGTGTGCCATCTGAAACTCCAACATTTGCGGTCAAAATACTAGCACTCCATAAAGCTTTATTTTATGTACATTAAACAATTTTCACAACTTTGCTAAATCATTTTGAATTATGTTGATAGCATTAATAAACAAAAAAAATACTGTTTTCTGTGATTTTGTTCCTAAAAATCAAGTATCTAAAACAATATCAATGTTGACAATTATTCTTTGTTGACCATAATTGTATGTTGTCGGCCCCATTCTCGCTCTCCCTTTCTAGCGGGCATTCTCTCTCTCACTCTCACTCCCACAGTGGACCTCATTTGTATGCAACAAGTATGCAAAAGAAAAACACATGCACAAATAAGTCCTGTTTGGTTTATCGACAACTACGCACTTGTAGAAAACTACCAAAATAAAAAACTCTTTATAACTTAGTAATAATGGAAAGAGTTGGGAAAACACCGATATAGTTGAGAAACGAATAGGAAGATTTTCCATACCTTTTTCGAGATGCGATTTAGCGAAAATCCAGTTTGGGTCGGCACATTAAGATATCCAGCCAAAACAGGTATTTCAACATCCATTCTGTGCACCACTCCTCCACCTCTCCTCTCCTTCTTCCCACTCTCCTTCTCTCTTTCACCCTCCTTCGTGGATCTTGCTCACACAATGCGCCTCCGATTCCGAACTGCTGTTGTTGTTGCTGCTGCTATTGGAGTTGGCTCTATGGGAATTCTGGAGTTTTCCCTTAATTTATCCGATCATTTGCCTTTTACGATACTTTCGCGTTCAGTTTTTGTTTATAACTTCATATTTGAGATCACATCACATTATCGCAAATTGCAAAGATTCGAATTTTGAAAAACGCAGCCGCAGCACAAATATAAAAATGCGAGCAGAGCCACCACAACTTTATTTATTTATGTGCTGAATGGTTGCATTTGATGGCGGCAATACAAATCGATATATTGCAACGATCGATAGGTGTATGTAATTAATAATCTTACTTTTTGTGCTAGTTTTGGGGGACATATAAAATCTAATTGGTTTTATTCATTTATGGGCATATATATTTTTATTTTGATGAAAAATTGGCTTGTTTTTCGAAATTGCGTCCAAATTACATGGAAGCTATAATTTGAAATATATTTGAAAGTCCGGTAACTCTGTTAAAGTCGCACCGGCTAACAAAAAATCTTTCGATAGTACAGAAATGCCAACTCGTTTGCGAAAGTGCCATTGCTGTTATCGAGTGTTAGCGATTGGCGGCTATTTAAATAATAAAAAGTTCATTACAATTTTTATTTGATTTAGGTTTATTTAAATTATTTTTTATTACGCTTTCGAATAACAAAATGAAATATAGTGCACGTTTGAACTGAAGTGAAAAAAATGTCGATATTGCTTATTAAAAAACCAGGGCTGGTCAAAACATTTGTGGTAAAAACAGTAACCGACCATCTGGTAACACTGCAAGTCTTATAGTGCAAAAAGGAAATATAATTTAGTCAAAACAAAAGCGAAAATAGGAGTATGGCCCACGACCGCGAGGTGTTGCGAATGATCTGGGAGGGTCAGATTGGTATATGTTTCCAGGCGGATCGGGACGAAATCGTGGGCATAAAGCCAGAGCCCTTCTATCTCATGATATCGCGACTGAGCTATTTGCCACTGGTAACTGACAAGGTAAACAATTTATATACTTGGTATATCTTTATCAATATAAGATCTATGATAATCTCCATGTGACCTTATAGGTTCGCAAGTATTTCTCCCGCTATATAAGCGCTGAACATCAGGATGGTGCTGTTTGGTTCGACTTCAATGAAACGCCCCTGCGACTGCACTATCCAATTGGTGGGATTTACACTCATGCGATGATATATATATCATGACATTCTTATTGATCACTAATGGTTATTCTTTGAATCGCTGTTCAGGTGTCCTCTATGATCTTTTGCATCCGGAGGAGGACGGCACACCGTGGTGCCTCACCATTCACTTCTCTAAGTTTCCCGAGGACACGCTCGTCAAGCTCAACTCCAAGTATTTATACAAAAAAACAAAATCATTTTGAAAAGCTAATTCCTCTAAACAACGACTTTATACCTTGCAGTTATAATACAGCTTTTACTAGGTTATTTTAGTTACTAAATCCGGGTCACTGAAAACCTGTCTTCCAACATATAATATCATGGCCAATTAGAGTCCGTTTATAAAATGTTATACCTTATCAATTTTTTGGTAACGCTTAGTGACTTGTTTAATGTTAAAAACATAATGAAATGAATCCACAAATTAAAAAGAAATGTATATAAACTTTCCAGCTTACGCTGATCAATAATATTCATAAATTTATGGTTTTAGCTAGAAATTATAAAATATATAAACGAAATTATTATAATTGCAAGGGCTTTAAAAACGTTATGGAATTATTATATTCATAATGATTTATATAAAAGGCTTGAGAATTGTTCTTTATATGTTTATATTTTAACTGGTAAAGTGTATTAATAATTCATATTATTTAGGGAGCTGCTGGAATCGCACTATATGTCCTGCCTGAAAGAGGCAGATGTCCTAAAACATCGTGGTCTAGTAATATCCGCAATGCAGAAGAAGGATCACAATCAACTTTGGCTGGGATTGGTCAACGACAAGTTCGATCAATTCTGGGCGGTCAATCGAAGGCTAATGGAACCGTACAGCGATCAAGAGTCCTTCAAAAACATTCCCCTGCGAATCTACATCGATGATGTGAGTGAAAACCCAAAGATCACATAATTTCAGTTCAGTTCAGCTTAAACTGATGGATTTTCCGCTTCCTTTTTTCTAAATTTTTATTAATAGGACTTTACGTACACCCAGAAACTGATTTCACCGATCAGCGAGGGCGGACAAAAGAAGAGTTTGGCCGACCTGATGGCCGAATTATCGACACCTGTGCGCAAAGCGGGTGAGTTCGGAATTTTCGATTTAAGACTTTAGAACTGGCGGCTATCAATTACCACAGGCACTCTAAAATGAAAATGAAAAAGGAAAAACAAAAAGAAAAAGAAGAAAAAAAAACGAAACCCAAAGAGTCTGTAAGGAAAAATGAAAACGAGAAAACCCATTGTCTGCGCAGACGCAACGTCTCTTGGAAATTAGGGAAAAGGTGCCAGTCAGTCTGGCATGGCCAAGTGCATGTCTGTCTATCTATCTGTATCTCTTTCTGCTGACCCACCCGTCTGACTTATTTATTTTTCTAATGAATAACACAAACGAACCGAACCGAGCCGAGCCGAGACGAAAAATCCGCCCTGAGCGGCACTCTCCAACAATCATTGTTCAATTCATCAATGTCCTGTCTGAACAAAAACTCAAAAACAAAAAAAAAAAGATACAAATAAAAATGGAAGATAGAAAAGGAGATTCTCTCGGGCTGAATACAATGCCCCCGGGGTGGAAAAGCGACGCAGAGCGGATCGGATCGGAACGGATCGCTTTGCCCATTTCGAACTAGCCTGGCCAATAATATGCTCTGTTTCCCTCTAGCTCGTTGCATTTTCCTTGGCCATTCAAAGGAATGAACAAATTTTTTGTCTGCCAACTGAAAATTCTCGACAATGAAAATGTGCGTGTAGATTTTCGTGGCAATAACAACTGCTATCAATGTAGCAAATGCAACAAAAAAGCAACATCAATTGATCAAAAAATAATATCCAAAAAACCATAAGCGAATTTGAAACAAAACAATGTTGCTGCCATTTAAGATACAATTTTAAATACATTGACATGTGCATATTATGGTAACTAGTGGTGCAATAAGAAATAAAACTAAATTTATATCAATTTAATATGCAACATCAGAGGAAACATCTTGGAAAAGCATTTGTTAAAAAGTCAGTAGAAGCAAGCAAGCAACCTAGGCAACATTCTCGGACATCCCCAGCAACAGCTATAAATAGTTACAAATTATTATAAGTAGATAAAAACTTAATAGCAATAGAACCTGTAACATCAAAGAATATCCCGAGCAACAGCACTTACAAATGCCACAGAAATACACCAGCAACAGCAACAGAAACTGTCAAAAGACCTGCAACCTGCAACAACAGCAACTGTCTGTTAAGGGGCAGCAATAGAAAATGCCACACATTGCTGTTGACCTGCCGCGCCGGCGACAAGATCAGCACGCACGAACCAGAGCGAGACAGCAGGAACAGAAAGGGAGACAACACTATAGAAAGAGATACATAGATGTGTTGCTGGACGATAGAAACTTGCAACGCGCACAACACACTGCAAACCTCCCACTCCAGTGGCTTAGGTGCAATAATAGCATTGGGAATTCCAAAGACGGACAAAAGGCGGAACTAAATACCTGCGGCTGGGATTTACGAATTATATTGTGAGGGTTTTTTTTTTTTTTCGTTTCGGGAACCACTTGGATATACGTAGCTAGTGCCTATAGAGCTCACCATGCATCCATCCATCCCATTCAGACCTAGAGAGAGCGGAGATCCCTCCAGTGTGTGTGTGCATGTCCATATGTTTCAGGCTGGTTGGGTATTTCCCAGGTGTCCCGATCTCGATGTCGATCTCTCGTTTCGAGTCGTGTCCTTTGGCTGCTATGGTTCTTTATGCACCATACACCATGCACCATGCACCCTAGTGCGCTGGCCAAGGTGTGAAATCTTTATTTGCATGCTTATAGAGGGCCTTCTCGGCACACTTGATGATCCCAAGGAATTTCCCATTCGAAATGTGAGAGATTTCCAACGATCCTAAACAATTGTCGATGGTTGTCGATCAACACGTATTTTCCCTAAGGTCATTCCGGCACTCTGATGATGGTTGTTATATAGTAGTGTTGTCCTTGGCGAAGGATTCATACTAGGATTCAGATTGATATTCGGATTCGGTAAAGGATTTATCGGCTTCTTTTTAGCCACACGCCTGGCTTAAATGGGCCATCTAATGGAATCCGATGACTAGAAATGACTAGGTGGATTCCCAAAACTCTAAGGATCGCAAGATCGTGATAGAATGGTTGTTATTTTGTCGGGATTTCGGTTATGCTTATGCCATGGCTTTAAGGGATGTCAATTCAATGAAGGGCTCCCTTATTTATGTTTAATGTACATATGAAAGAATATTTAAGGTACATAAATAGATACAATATTCGCATTGCCTTAGGATCAGATTCCTCCTATACGATCTCTTTTGGATACTCCCTATGCCTTTCCATTTCCTCATTTAACCCCCACCATTCTCTTTTTTTTTCTAGCCCCCCCATCCGTAAATTTTTTGCATTTTTGAGTACACAAATCGGAATTGAAATCAAACAGAAATGCATTCAAAACATGATCAATTTGTTGGCCCGGTCTTTTTTTCCTTTTCATGAAACTTGTGATGAGATGGGGGGCAAGAAAGACCAAAGAGAGAGGATGAAGAGGAGGAGGGGGGGAGCGATGGTTTGGATAACGATTGCACGTATTTGTGGTGCGTGCATTTTCATAGAAAATCGTATTTAAATTAAAATGAAATTCAAATATACAATGCAGTCGGGTATCTGAGTTTTCAGTCGGAACGTGGAAGGTTCAAAGTAGATGCGATTCCAAGAAATCAAAAAAGAAGAAATACGAACAGAATAAAGACGAAAGAACAAGCGGCAGAGGAAGAATCTAAGACGCGTCAAAAATAAAAGAAACGCATTTTTTTGGGCTTTGCCTTTGGCTCCTGCTCCTTCTATCTCTCTCTCTCTCTCTCTCACACACTCTCTGTTTATATCTTGCTCTCTGTCTCTTTTTCTCTCATTTAGCTCCTTGTGCATCGGCATTCGCTTCATTTGTTGTTGCTGCTTTTATGATTTGCCGCCGGCAGAGACGCCAACTGCGCTGCCGTCACCGGAAAGAAGCAACAAATAAATGCAAGTGGCTTTCAGTATTGCCAGGCTTTGAAAAGTTTCGGCATTCGAAGAGATTTTAAAAACTATTGTGAGCAAAATACGTTTCACTAACTTCAGTTTTATGTCCTAGTCTTTGAGAAACTTTGGTTTTTTTTTTTGGAAATAATCTTTACTCATTACAATGTCTACTATTTCTATAACTATGTAAATCTTTTATTTTCTGTGTATTGTATAGCTTTGGCTTGAAAAAGCTATAACTGGCTGAACTGCTATAGCGACGTTTATATATTATATGTATGTATGCGTATGTGTATGCAAGTATTTGGCATGCTGGCTGTATTTGTATTTGTAGGGTGCTCTCGAATGTGTGAAAAGGAAGTTCTGAGATATCACCTCCGCTTATTTGTATTTACACCTTCGCCGGCACCTCGTCGCCCTGGCTGGCCCCTCTCCAATGTTTTTCCAACTCCTCTTCTCATTTCTCCCCCTCCTTCGTTCCACATTTTTCTTATTTTCTGTATTTTTTTTTTTTTTGTTTCGCTGCACTCCGACAAAACTCCGGTGAAAACGGCGGCGCACGGAAATCGCACCTCAATGTTTATCACTTTTTGCTTCTCTCTTTCTTGATCTCTCTTTTACTCCTTAGCCAAACCTCCTGCCCCCCTCCTCTACCATCGCTTGTTTTCGCTCTCCCTCTTACTTGGTCTTTCATCGGGGCATTTGCTTAGTCCCATTTCGACACATTTTTCGTTTGCATTTCGTCAATCAGACAAACAATACAAATACAAATGCCAACCTGCAAAATGCAACCTGCACAATGGACATGTATGGGTGTGTAGCCATGAGTGCTTGCAGGTGTGTTTGTGCGACAATTGGCGTTGCCACGCCCCGCTTTTTGGGTGGGCTGAAGATATGTGTGCGTGTGTGTGTGAGTGTTTGTGTGTTGATCTTCACAGCATCATTATTTAAATTTACCTTTTTTTTAACACCCGGTGATCATCAATCATACTTCATTTAAAAGATCCCAAAATCTAAAGGAAAACATTCAAATGAATTCGAAAATGTTTCTCTGAAAGGCCTATGAAGTTACATTAAAAATGATTATTTTTATAATTTGGTTTTAAAACTACTTTGTATGTAGTTAATTGAGTTATTTTTTGATATATAAAATTGGAAATCCAATTATTAGACATTTATTAATGCTATATTGATACTTTGTTGAAATGTTTTAACCAACAAGGATTGGAAAACATCTTCGTTTCTTTGGGCTGACTTCCTGCCCCCCAATTTCCCCATTTTCTTATTTGTTTGTTTTTTTTTCTTGTCTGCTTGATCGGCCATAATCGGGTGCAATCTTCAGTTCACAATTCAACTGCACCGTCAACGAAATTCGATTTGATTTCTTTTCGCTAAACATCCGCAATCCCACCATATCACCTCTCTCATTGCCCCTTTGATCGTAATAATTTCCTTACTTTGTAGCTGGATGAAAATAAACCGAAATTAAAATTGAAATTATGGGGCCCCAAAAAATACAGAAAAAGCAAGAAAAAGCCCAAAGAAAGACAGACAAACAAAAGGCAAAACAATTGATTAGCACTTTTCGATTTCGCACTCTTTTTCTTATTTCTTTTTTTTTTTTTAATGGCGTCACTGAACTGCAAAAATTGTCTTTTCCCCAAATGCAATTGGGAACGTTTGGAATTGTGAAACAGAGATAGGTGTGTTGCTTTTTTTATTTCCATTTTTTATATACTCGTTTTTTAATGGCTTTATAGAACACAATCTATTAAGTGATTATAATGATTGGGGCGCCTTATCAGATCGATGAAGCGTTGTTATTTTTAGCCATGAGCTAGGCGGTGTCGTTCGTTCTGTCATCGCCACCACCTTCTCCTCCTCCACCACCACACCACGACCACCTCCTCACCCACCGATCCCTCTTTTTTCCACGCTGACGATAATAAAAATGGGATCAATAAATTTTCAGACTGTTTGGCGCCACTCTCGTTCTTGCTTCTTCTCTCTTTCACTCGCTGCATGTCTCTCTTTCTCTTTTGGGTGACCGCACACAATTACACATATCATTAAGATCATAAGTATATATATAGATATATTTATATATATACATCTGCGGTTCGGTCTATTTAATAGTTTATGTCGTTTGGGTTGGTTTCCAATGAAAGATTTATGATCTCTTTGGCGCTTTGGAGCTGTCTTTCCTTTTGGGTTTTAAGAGTTTCTCAAATCGCTGGATATATTGGCGATTGAACGATACCTTGAGTGATATTACCTTTAATTGGTTAACAGTTTTATTTTTTAGAACTATAAAATTATATACATATATATATTTGAATGAGATAGGAATTTTATATAAAGTTGGGTGAAATCTACATGATTAAACACGATCGGTCATTAAAAAGTTTTACTATAAAAGTATAACGTACGTTTCATAAGCAATCTTTGGAACAATCCTAATACTTTAACCAATCGATTCACTGCCTATTATTTCCCATCCTCGAAACAATTCGATTATTATTATTTTTGGGGTAGCGCCATTAGCTTGGTCATTAAACTCGTGACTTGCCCAACCGAAACGGATCGAAATGGAATGGAACGGTGTGTAGTGAGTAGTATACTATACTATATAGTATATATATGAATATAGTATAGCTATAGAGCTATGCGGCCTACTTGAACTCGCGCCCCGTTGCACAAATCTTATCGCCACCGCCTCCCACCGCCTGTAATCAGCCATTATCAGACCATCCACTCTCATACACATTCCATATCTGCTGAGCATGCATATGTATGTATTTTATATCAAATATATATATGTATATGTAGCTGATATAGAGCTTCGATCGGGACGTTTCGCCATAACCACCGAACGATTGGCAATCGCAAGGCATCGAGAATTGGCGATCAGCAATCTATAATTACAATTTTATATGCTAAAATTAAAAATGACGAAATTTGTCACGATTGGTACTTCCAAAAAAAAAAAAAAAAGAAGAAAGAAAAGAAAACACACTTATTGATAAGGCGCTAAACTCTGATTTCCAGGCGAGTCAAATTGCTTTCTGCTATTCTTTTCGGTGTCTATAATCTTTATAGCTTGCAAATTGATCATGATCAATCCCCTCAGAATATATATATAGAAGCCACTGAGATGGAGGCTTATCAGTGTAAAGTAATCGATGGCTAATCTCATTCATTATAATATACAGTATAGCTATATGTAGAGACTTCATATCAGTGCTGTCTCTCATTAATGAAATATTGATTGCCGAGTTCTTTTACATAATGAACGTTTTAGTACGCCTTTTAATGGGTATTTTATAATGCGTAAATCAATCCTTTGGTAAAGTTATAACCTTTTTTCAAGATTAAATAATCTTTAAGATTTCCGGTTTCCAATTTGGCCATTGTATAATAATACGAATCATTTAGTGATAAGCGATATTGTTTAGTCATTGTAAAAGACTGGCATAAAGTCTATTTGAATTTTATATTATAGGACTATATGCAGGCGGCATGGTTCCTTTGAACTTTAAATGATCTCATTAAGTTTTATGAAGATCGATTATGTTTGTAAACTACTTTTGGCAGTCTTAAGAAATGATCGATAATATGATCAAGTGTGGGTTAGCACAAAGCACAAAGATAGCCTTTTCTTTTTTTACATTAAAACCAAAAACTTAAGTAATTTATAAATAAAATAAATCCTATTATGATCCTTAGAAAAATAAATAAAATATATTATTAAGGAGATACCTTAAAGCCTTGAATAAGGAAAGGTTAGCAATTGAAGTGAGTGATCTTTTTTAGAGTGCCAATTTGTTAGGTTATGTTTAGTATAATTTGATATAGTTTAACTTTAATATTACTATTTCCAGTTGGTTGCCGCACCCATGGCATCGATCTTCACGAGGAGACCCAATTACAATGGATGTCCGAGCACCTAAGCTATCCCGACAATTTTCTGCATTTATCGGTCGACTACAAGGATGTTTAGCGCTTTATCTATATGTATATATATATGTATACTCCATATATTCTATGTTTTTGCCCAGTCCGTGAGTGTATGAGTGTTCAAGTGCATCCATATGTGCGTTTTTTGTGAGAATTTTCGCGCTGTTCTATTTTTCGATTCCAGCAAATCCCAGGGCGATCCTCTGCGATCGATTAAAGTCATATATATATATATATATATATATATATACATGTATATATATACAAACATACGCCTAGTTAAGTAAAATGTACGATATATGCCAGCATTTAAAGGAAGCGAGCAGCGCAAACCAAACGATTACTGGAACTACCCACTAACTAGTAATATCAACACACATACACACTTCTATACATATATATATAACTTTATACAGTCGTGCACTGTTTTTTATTTCAAAGCACTACCTGTTAGCTTAAGTTGCGATAAATTTACATGAAATTAATATAGTCTTATGTTCAATTCTGTGTATTTCATAAATATTTAGGTTTTTTATTTTTAAATATTATTAACAAACATCACGCAACATTAATGATTTAAGCTATTTAGTATTGACTAAATCAAAAATATATATACGAAAGTTATGATAAAACTTGTTATGACATTTTATTTTGTACGAGTAAAGGGAAGAATCTTCACTGTACGAATATATTTTAGCGGATGGATCGGTAGATCGTTGGCTGGCAGTGTTCATCGATCAACTAGCATAAGATACATTTAAGCCGCCGGAAACTGGACAAGCCCTAGGCAAAAAAAAGGTTATCAATTTTGGTGGCAATTTATCCGCCTGTCAAGATACTGCCCAAAATTGAAAATTGGGTCTGGATGGGTCTACTGGTAGTACTATATCTGATCTTTTTTTTTTATTTAATAATTGTTTTGCTACCCAGCGGACCTTACACAATATGTTTTTGACCAACCCCGAGTATCGGCGATCTTCATATTAGTTTCCTTTATTTGAAGAGCATCGATTTGCAACTGTCAGGGAAATGTATAAACACATAGTCATAGTGATCTATAATTAGTTAACGCTTTTGCACCACTTGAAAATGATTTATTTGATTGTTATTTGTATCGTTTGTCTGAGCACGTTCGTCAGAATGAGTCCAAAAATAAACTTAAAATCTGATAAAAAAAAAAGATAGGCAAGCCAAATTAAAATCAATTTTCTTATTAATTATTAGTTCACATGGCTTGTATGGGTTAAGGGGGTGTATATTTAGCTCTAGGGAAAGTGAAGGGGTTAGCATTATCGAAAATCTGATGGAACCATTGATGGATGCCTTTGGCTGTCTGCGGTTTTGAGTGATCAGGGATCATGGGTATGGAAAAGCTTATGTTAAAGCTATAGTGGTAGATTTTTGTATATAATAATGTTAAGTAAAATATCTTTTAAGATTACAGATCACTTTTCTGCAACATTTCTTATTACTTATTTTGTATATTTTTATTAGTTTAAAAAGATAACTTATTCATCCATGTATGTGGAGTGATTTCTGTGCATTTTAGTTTAATATTTAAAATAAAACTTAAGACTAGTTTTTCCGATTTCAAAAATTTTACTTTATGCCACACATTTGGAACCTAAAGAAAACCAAAAAGTAATACCCAACCGATTGGTACAGTTTAGAACCAAACAAATTCATATAACAGAGATTATGTCACGATTTTCGATCGGATCGCGCGAGAGTCGTTCCTTGTGATTACATCACACGGTCCGCAAAACTCGCTTGATCAATAACAAACTATATAGGTGAATATATATATATATATATATAATATATATCTGGCCATCTGCAAAGCACTCGAGATTCGGGACTCAGGTGAATTCTATTTGCCGTGCTATATGTCTTCTTCCCCTATTTACTTTGTAAATTTTTTGGCTGGCTGCAAATCAAAAAAAATATATATATAATATGTTTTTGTTACGTCCGAACGATCGAAATTTGTCACGTGGCATGAAAGGCAACAACAACAAAGAGCACACATTTCTGGGAGGTAGAAAAAAAGGCGAGCAAAAGTTTACACGGCAACCCGATTCGAAGAAAACAACACGAAAATAAATCGAAAATTTAGCAATCATCTGTGGTTCGCGCTCTTCCCTCAAAAACTGTATATTTTTCTGCCATAAGGTGTACCGATCTTTAGCTATTAGGAGGGGTATTACTTTTTAGATGATGTTTCTTAGCTTAAAAGGGAATTATAGGTTATATTTTGTGCTGAAGTTTCTTTCCTTAAAGATACTCTTTCTGAAGCTTTTTTTGTCACCAATCTGAACTGTGGTACTTCAGGTTCTTATTCCAAATCATTTCAACTTTGATTATATCTCCCATGGTAGTTGATTTTATATTCCTCTAAAATCAATCACCCCGTTCTGATTCCTCGCCCTTTCTCTGGCTTAACTTGAGTACGTGGGAACCTGAACGATCAAATAGCATAGATGCCAACAGTTCCGATCTCTTAGCAACAAGCCCACCCTTTCATACATAGAGACAAATATTAAGTTTTATTTCTTAGTTAAATTAAGATTTGAATCAAAGTATTTTACAAAATATGATATTTCATGACCATGCATTTTTGAGAAACATTAATTACAATCTACAAAAACTAGTAAATTGGAAGCCATGTATAGATTTTCTTTCCGTGCATGACTAGGGTATCCCATGGGGTCTGCAATCGTTCTGTCCGTCTGTTTTTGTCCGCAAATGTCGCAAAAAATTCTTTGGCAGTGATCACTTGAATTTCCTTTATTTTATTTATTTATTTTTATTTTTTTTTTTTTTTTCGTTCTGCAGAAGGGAAAACGCGTCAAAGTGAAAAACAATGAGTATGCCGCTCTGTCTCGAGAACTTAAACCCAACAAAACCTATTCAATCTGATCCGATACGATACGATACGATAGCTGGCGATGGTGATGTGGTGCTGGTGCTGGTGCTGGTGCTGGTGGTGATGCTGATGTAGATCGCCGTGGTGCTGAATGCTGTGGCTCGGGGCTCGTGATTGGCGCACACACATTGGCAAACGAGAGCACTTTATTTTTAAACGTTTTAAAAATACGATCATTATAGAATTTGCGGCTTAGTCATACCCCGCCGTTGAAATGTGCCAAGCGAATTTGACCAGAGACCGTGTTGCTTCAGTTGGGGGCAGGGGGGCGATGGGTGGTCTATAGATTAGGGGGAATGAGGACTTGGGGGCGTGGCACAATTTAGTCGAAATGAAAAGCTCCTAAAAAGCCTTAAGCTATGCCCTGACTTACTTGACAATCCATGAGTTGTCACAACGAAACAACATACACATTTTGAATGGCATGAATGAGATCAAACGGCGATTGGTTCTATAAATGGGGGTTCTAAGACCCCCAGAAAGCAGGAAATATCGATGTGATTCAGTCGGAAATCTTTAACAAGCTCATCTACTTTAAGAACTGTCTATGTTTAAAGATTAAAATGATGAAAGATCAGGCTAAAGATCAGTAAGAAAGTGTTTCCATAGAAATTTGTAAACGCAAAATAACCAACTGATCATCAAAGCTTAGGTGTTCCATTATCCATATTATAAAAAAAGAAACATGTTATGTATTCCTTTAATCCACAGAGCCATCTGAAAATTGAAATCTCCACGCGAATTCCCAAACCAAATAAAATGATAAAACCAGTTCAATTTAAAGTTTTTTTAGTTTTCTGTTGGTAATTTAATCAATTCGTTTTGTAGTTGGTTTTGTTTTGTTGTTGTTGTTTGTTGGTTTTATGGTAACAAAATTATTGTTGTTGTTGTCAAATGTTATATATAAAAATACTGATTTTTATATATTTATGTATATATATCTCTCTATGTATATGCGCTTCTTTCTTTCTCTTTTAAATAGGTTCATTCAATTTTTCCCTTGGCAATAAAAAAAAAACGTTATCCTCTTGTTTGTATATAAATATATTGTATATATGTATATGGTATATATATATAATTATAATTAACTTTTTTTTTTAGATTTAACCCTTAAATTTACATTTAATTTCTTGCTCTCGTTTGTGTTTGTAAATATATATATTTATTAATATTCATTAAGCTTCAGTTTTCAACAATTTTATTAAAATTTTGTTTTGTTGTTTGTTCATATCACAAGAATTTTCAATTTCCAAATTTAAAAAAAAAAAAAATATTTATATATGTGTGTGTGTGTGTTTATTGTAAAGGTGTATGTGTGTGTGTTTGTATTTTGTTTCATTTTTAAAGCTTTACTCTTAACAATTTTCTCAGTTTTTCCAGTTGCAGTTTTCACATTTTTCTCTCCTATTTACTTCACACAATCCCCCTTGCCCCTCATCTTTTACAAATTAAATTTAGCGTTGAAATTCTTAAGTTAAATTAAATTGTTTCGCCTTGTTTTAGTATTCCCTTTTCCTTTTGTTTTGTACAATATTATTTACACATTCTAATTAAAAAAGGAAAAAAGGGAATAACTAAACTTAAGCTTTAACTTTGTTCTTAGAAGGTATCCAAAAAAAAAAAAATAATAATCTTTAACCTAAGGTTGGGGAGTTTTTTTGTTTTTGCTGATATGCTTGGAAGATATATGTTTTCGCTTTCTTTCTCTCTCTCTCGCTAGCGCTTAAAGTGTAGAATTTAATATATATAAAATAAACTTAGTTGGTAAAGCTAGAAGACAAGAAAAAAAAACGCTTTTTTTTAAACTTAAATATGGCTTAGGGAACTAAAAGGCCAGGCCCAGTGACTGCCATTATAACATCCGATTGGTGGGATTGCTGCTTGCTTAGTTGCTATTGTGTGTGTGTGTGTGTTGTGTATTTGTTGTGTTCTTTAGGCCACCAGGGTCATGTTTGCGGGCGCAGTATCCGCCACAAGGATTAGTGGTCGATTCACGGATGTGCTCCTCGCATTCGTTAAAGACTCCTGATCCAGCCAGCGTTGCAGGTGTTGCTGATGTTGCAGTTGATGTTGCTGCTGTTGCTGCTGCTGTTGCTGCTGCTGCTGCTGCATATACATCAGATTGTCGTTGTAGACGGCATGCAGCTGGAGATTGAGACTGTAGTTGCTGCCGCTGTCGCTGTAGGTGGATGAGCTGCTCTCGTAACCGGAAACGGGCGATCCTTTGGGGCAACAGAAACCGGTGGGCGAGAGGGCGGGCGCCGAGAATGGGCTAAGGGGCGAGGTGGCTTTGCTTGAGCTGCAGTTATCCTGAAATTGCTGATTAGGACTCCCGCCGCCGACGGGAAATGTCTGCTGTTGCTGTTGCATAGTGCTGGGGCATTGAAAGCTAGTGGTAGAACTACCAGGCGATAGACAACCTCCAGGATATGGATGATTGCTCCAGATAATGGGATCCCTTTGTTCGTTGATTACCGCTGGTTTCTTTTTGAGACGACGTTGCTTCTTGTCAGCCGCATCCTTGGAGTCTACTTCATCGTCATCGGCATCACGGTATTCGTCATCATCTTCGTGTTCATCCTCGCCAGCTCCCTCATCCAAATCCTCTTGCTGCTGCTGGCGATGTTCCTGCTCCTCATCATCGTCCAGTAAATAGGGCTTGAATAGCTTGACCTGTTTGGAGGGCACTTTGCGCTCTTCTGGCTGCTCTGTTTCCACATCCACTTCGACATCCTCGTTTTCCGTTTCCGTTTCGGGTTCCTTCTTGATCACTTCCTCTAGCTTACTAATCTTATCGGGTTGCATAGGATTGGTGATGACCTTACGTTTGCGGAAAGTGAGATCCACGCCCGATGGATCCTTCTCGTTCAATTGCATTTGACGACGGGCAGAGGATCCGAGAGATAAATCCATGGGTGCAGGTGTGGCTACGGCCTCCAAACGATTCTCCAGATAGCCATGGTTATGATGTGGATGATGATGATGATGGTATGCATAGGGCATGTGTGGAATGTGACTGGCTGATGACGAGGATCCCGGGGAACCGCTCAGAATTGGCACTTGTATTGGCACTTGGTTGCTGTTGCAGTTGCTGCTATTATTGCTGTTGTTACAACTACTGTTGTTGCTGTTGCTGCTGCTGCTGCTGCTGCTGGCGGGGATTGCTGTTGGTGTGGAATTGCCATTGCTAGTAGTGGCCATGGCGGCGGCAACAACAGCGGCAATTTTTGCTGCGGAAAGGACATTAGAGGATCCTTGACTGCTGCAATTTGAGGCAATATTTCCAGCTGCTTGTGGCTCCTGTTGCTGCTCCTGCTGCAACTGCTGCTGCTCCTTTTGATGATGCAGTTGTGGATGCATTGCCACCGGGACATGTAAATGTGGATGGGCGGCCAGGGGGTGTGGCACCATGCCATTGGTCGCCAACAAATGATGGGCGGCATGATGATGGGCCGCTGCTGCAGCTGCCGCCGCTGCAGCTGCCGCCGCTGCTGCTGCTGCATGATGATGATGGGCGGCATGGTGATGGGCAGCGACATGATGATGGGCAGCAGCATGATGATGTCCATGCCCAACAGATGCGGCATGATGATGATGGAGCTGATGTACCAACGGATGATTCAACTGATGGAACACCTTGACTGCCGGTGTCGGTGATACCGATTGCTGCGGGAGAAGTTGCTGCTGTTGTTGTTGTTGCTGTTGTTGTTGCTGCTGTTGCTGTTGCTGCTGCTGATTGTTGGCCACTGAAGAGCGCAAGTTTGATTCGCATTGCAACCATTTTTGTATTTGCCGGCGGTGTATATTGTATTTCCTGGCCGTGGCCCTTTGATTGCCCTTGCAATCGTTATCATTGCGATACGATTCCAAAACTTGCAGTTTAAAATGTGGCGTAAAAATGCGGCGACTGCCCATTTTGGGACTGCCAGAAGAATTGTTATTACTTGTGGAATTCTCTGAAGAATCCTTGGGCCGTTTGAAACTCAAAGCTCCAGAGCCGTTTAGCTGTTCGCTGCTGCTGCTATCCATTATGGTTTTTTGACTGTTTTTTAAGTGTTCTTTATTCAGTTTTTCTTCTGAACAATTCTTCTTTGTAAAGTATATATATACTTTGTTGTGGCAAACAAAAAATGTAGTATAAAAGTGTGTTGCTCTTGTTGTAGGTAGTAAGTAGTGTTATGTGCTTTTGTTGTAGCTGTTGTTGCTACTTGCGTGCGACGCTTGCGCTTTCATAACTCGCGATCTGGCAGCTCTGTCCCCAAAGCAGCGACGTCGACGTCGACTCGCACACAGACGCACACAAACACTCGCCACACAGATACTTTTGGAGTTTATATGAATGATAAAAATCGACTGAAAATCACTTTTAAAATTCCTCTTTTTTTTCAAAAAATATCTTTATATATGCATTTATTCAAAACACAGTTAAAAAAATAATGTGTAAGCACTAAACGTTTGTGTGTTGTTGTTTGGCTGGCTATTTCTTTTTTAGTCTTCTTTTAAGCTACTTCGTACGTTTTACTACGCTCTTCTCATAACTCGCGTTTGCGATCCGCACGGCAAGGAATCCAAAACACAATTGTTCTGCCCTCGGCGTTCTAGTTCGAAGATACGTTCTAGACTGCCCCGCTCTGCTGGCGTCACTGCCGGCGCCGCCGTCGACAGCGTTGAGTTCACTCCAACATACACACACACACGCATTCGCTGGTGCACACATACGTAAAGTGCCTGCCTGTCTGCTGTGCTCTGCTGCTAATGCCGCTGCTGCTTCTGTTGTTGTTTGTGTGTGGGTGTTCGTGTGCGTGCACAAAAAGAGAGTAATCAGAAAGAGAGAAAACGCGCGCGCTAGAGAGCGCAACCACAAGAACAACAATAACGGCTAGCAGCATGGCGCTGAGCATTGTAGACAAACTGACGACAATCGTGTCGCGAGGTGTCTGCCTTTCCATGTGTGCGTGTGTTTCAAGAGTGCGAGCAAGATGCGAAATACCCGTTCGCTGTTGCGGCGCTTTTGTTGTTGCTGCTGTGTGCACGGTGGGACCGAATGTTCGGAACAACCCATTCCCCTTGCCCGTCAAGCCCCATCCCTTTTGCGATTGCGGCGGAGCCACTGCCACAGTCACCCGAAGACTGACTAACTGAAAAACACCGCAAATGACACAGTGGGGCCAAAGCAAGAAATGTTAAGGCATTCCTAAATAAATAAATTTCTTACTTATATTATAAATTGGAAAAATAACATTGCTAACTTAATGTTAACAAAGAAATTTAATAATTTATCAAATCAGTTTATGCAATTATATCAAATTTAGATCATTTCTGTTAACTATATAACATTATGCAATTTATTTAAACAATTACAAACTGTTATCAAAAGTCTAAAAGAGAAAAAAAACAAGTGAGAAAGATAACTTTAAAACTTTTATTTGAGATGGAATGAAAATTACAAAATATTGCTTGTATTTGTAAATACGCTACGAGAAATATATATACGCCTTTTTAAAGATTTACTTTCAAATCTTAAACTAAACAGAGTAAGTTTTTTATTGTTAAATTATAAAATTTATATAAACAGCTTTTCGCCACACTGTGCTGCGACTTTCTTTAGCGGCTGCGGTTGCTGTTGCCGTGTTGTGTTGTGTTGTTGTTTCTGGCTGCGCTACAAATTCGCTGGCTCTGCCAGTTGCCTACACATATACAGACACGGCACTTCTAAAGTGTGTATGTGTATGTGCGCCAGAGTCGTGGCTGCCAGACATTCTGGCACTGCCACTCCACACACGGCCCCCCTGTGCCCTTCACCCTTCAATTTACCCCTCTGGTCAACCCCCACCCTTTTTGACCCACACCCCTGTGCCACGGTCCCCCTGCCAACTCACAAACACATTCACAAGCAAGCGAAGCAACAGATCGTCGAACGAACTTGTTGAGCGGTGCTCTCTCGGCAACCGAGCGCTGTAGGTTTCTTGCTCTCTCGTTCTCTCTTGAATCAACTGTTGAATGCATTGCTGCATTTTTTATATTTATACAAACATACACACACACAAATAGAGGTTTCCAACTATCTTGGTTTTTTATACTCGTTATGGTCGTGGGTGCATATATACCATATACATTTTTTATATATAGTTTATTTCTGTTGACGTTGCCGCCATCCTGTCTAAACTTAACAAATGTATTAAAAAATAAATTATCTAAAATAAGTAAAATGGGCATGCAATGTTAAAAAACAAAAGAGAGAGCCTCTCTTTCCGCACTTGTTGCAAATGACAATCGAAAATGCTGCCTTTTCTTCTTCGTCATCTTCGTCTCTTCTTCTTGTTGTTCTCCTGCTTTAGCAAAATCTGGAATTCATGAATGAAACACACACACACTGAGACAAACACCTCGCTCTCTTTCGCTATTTGCATGTAGTGTGTGTGCGTATTTTTGTCGTCGACAGTGGGCTGCTCTTCTTGCGTGTGTATGCAAATTTATGAAAATAAAAACAATTAAAAAAAAAACTTAAAACAAATCAAATATATATAGGGTGTTGTTGTTAAGCATAAATTTTGCGCGTGCGATATAGTAAGATGAAGTGCGAAAGGGACAGGGCTAAAATCATTGAGTCACCTAGCTCTCCAAAATAAATAAAAAGTATAAAATGAATAACAACAACAATGATAGATCTTTGTGGTCCAGATTACCACGTCGCTGATGCCCCGCTCCACTGTATTCGAAAACAAACCCAACGACCATCCACCCACAAGCCGTCCCACTGTGACCACGAATAAAAAACCGACGACGGACTGTCTGGAAAGATCAAGGAAGCTGGAAAGGGACAGCAAGATGGACAACATGGAGCCTGAGAAGCGCCTGCACTCGAAAAAAATATCATATCAATAACGAGAAATTTTAAAACCGAAAGAGCTACACTGCACTAGAGATTATGAGAATTAAAAAGTGGGCCGCAAAAATAGATAGAAATCTCAAGTTATGCCTCTAGGCTGATATTAGGTTTAAACAATAATTAGATCTTTCAAATATTAAAAAACTAAAATATTGTACGTTGACAGAAATGTGGGAAAAATCTGTTTTAAAATGTAAAAAAAAAACCTTTAAAAAGGCGACAGAAATACATTTTTGAATTGCATTTCCAAGTAAAGCGTCCACAAACAACCCAAAAATATGCCGAAAAAAACGCACACAGATCCGCACCAAAAATTCATCCGACAAAAAAGTTCAAAAGCAACAACACACACACACCGGCACATAAAAATCAAAAGAATTCCACTTTTTTTATTTAGACCCCGTCGGCTCCTAAATCGATTTATCAAAAGCAAAACAAAAAAGAAGCGGAAAAGACGAAGGCAAAGAGATAAAAATTGAATATAAAAAGGTAACGTGAAAATCGAAGAAACCTATACACAGATACACCCATACCCATGAATTGATTAAAAAGTTGAAGAAAAAAAAAAAAGAAGTATAAAAAATTGGAAAAGGGAAAGGGCGCGGCAGCCGACGAAATAGGAGAAGGAGGAGACGGACAAGAACGACGTGCTGGGGCACTTATGATCTCCAATCTTCAAGAGATGAAGGAGGAAGAGAAGATTGGGAGGAGTAGTGCCGAGAAGGAGGAGAGCCTCAGGTTGATTTTTTTCAACAACGCTGCCGCCGCGCTGTCTGCGTTTGAATAAGCCCACACAAACAAACAGACCAAAAGAGACTCGATTAGAGAAGAATGAGTGGTGGAAGACTAAAGAATCGCAAGATGGAACCCCAAGAAGAGAATGATGGTAGAGAAGAAGCAAAAAAAAGCCAGGATACATTCAATGTCCTGAAAAAAATAGATTCTAAAAGTGAATCTATGGGAACACTGCTGCGATTATTGAGAGGTACTCAGAAAGGAAATAAGACTAACTAGATAAAAATTTAGTTTTATCAATTCTATCAAATAACATTTACTTTAAAAATCAGAATATGCCCTTGATATAATAAGATATATGTCCTCCTCATAACTATCTCTAATGACTGTCTTTTTTCTATTTGATAAAGGACATATATGTCACCTAAAAATTGTAGTAAACAAAACCAACAGGAAATTCCTAAACTATGAAGGTAGGAATGCTCATTTAGCCTATGACTAAACCTCAAGAGAACGAAAATATAGGTACATATACATATAGGTAGGTACATATATTTGAGCCTTATCAGGCGATAAGATCAAACAAAGGCGATTCAAGTGCCAAGTTCTATTTGTCGGCCAATAAAAGTTGATTCTGTAAACAATTTTCGACGAAGTGGGGCTCGAGCAATTACAAAGTGCACTATATAGTGGCATCCATAATCAGAATCGTGTACATACTCCATATAAATATATATATATATACATACATACATATATAAAAATACACAGTCGTATCGGCACTATCTATCTGAACACGTAGTGCCCCCGGGTTATCGGTTGGGGGCCCCTGCTGCAATCTCTTTGCCACTGACCACTTCGGTATCTTTATTGGAAGCTATGGGGTACGTCACCCCTCAAATAAGCCCTATTTGTTAGTGCCGCCAAGATTGACCACTCCTCTTCCACCGATCCACGTGGTTTGATCACGTTTCGGGTTTTGCGAACAAAAAACTAGATTCTGAAAAACATCGGTACGAGTGCTAAATTATAGCAGTTAAAGGCGTAAATGATAAAGTAGGTATGAATAGTTTTTACAGAGTTCAGGTTCCAATCTTATTTTTGCACCGATATTGTCAGTGTTCTTGACGGAATCACGTCTGTTGTACATTTAAGACAATTTTTTTTTTGTTTATGGTTTTTGAGCAATTTAATGGGTATATTCTAATAGAAGCTGGTTAATTAAAGTTTTTAAACATACATTAAAATTATGAGAAATCGTATTTCTTTAAAGCTGATTTGGGCTTTTAGAAAACTTTGAAAATGATTCTTAATTGATTTTAAGTAAAGCCCGAATTTTCCGATTTTCTGGTAATTATTTGCTTGGCTACTGGGAAATATTCCTTTCCTGTTCTTCTCTTCGAACCTTTTCTTCCCCATTCTTCTTGTTGAGGTTCTGGTGTTGGCCCAATCTTAACGACTTCCAATGGCAGCATTAAGGATCGTTCGCTGCACGATCACTTCTACTCGATGCCCCAACCAACAAACCTTAAGCCCCATACCCCATATTCCCCAACCCCCTACTACGATTCCCAATTCTCGACTCGCAAGTCCGATTCCAGGTAACTACGAACCGAAGCGAAGTCAGGCGCCTAATGGATAGTTCTTCTTGGAAAAGAAAGCGGCCTGCCAAAGCTGCGAGCCAAAAAGCCAGCGTCATGGTAAGTAACGTTGTCGTTGCCCCATCCCTAACGTCCTCGGTCCCCTTTCTGGACCTCCATAGCCCAACAAACCTCCCTCTTTGTCCCCCTCGTGAGATTTCCGTAGTCCCCTCTTTTTTTCTTGTGGCCCCTATGGACCAGACATTGGGCCGCCTTGGCGGTTGGAAGGAGCATAAAAATGCATGCTGACCATATACAAAGGAAAAAAACCGCGCCACATAAATATGTACGTACAATATATATGTACATATGTATATAAATACATATATGGTGCAGGCGGAATGAAGGGGGAGG